GGAGGTGAGGCTCGCCCCGGGGGGAGAGGCCGCAGGGGGCCGGGCGGGGTCGCGGGGCCTCCGGGGCGGTTCCCCGAGGGAGGAAGTGGGGGAGGGCGGCGCGGGGACCGTACGGCGGGGCCGAGCCGCTGTCTGTCTGTCTGTCTGCACGGGAAAATGTCCTGGCGGGGAGAACGATGGCTCCACCTTCCAGGCTGAGTCCCGGAAGGACGGCGAAGCCGCCCGGGCCCACCCGCTGCGTGATGCCCGCGCTGTGGGGTTTGGTGTTTAAACCCTTCTGTATCCACGCGTTGGATGTGTCTGAAAAAATAAGAGGCGACCTCCTTAAGACACCCACGCTCTGGAGTGTCGTGGACAACTAGCTCTGAACGCTGAACCTACCCTTTTATGTTGTTTTGATCAAAAAGTTGTCATCCGGAATATAGGAGCAACCTAACATGTACATGTTTTTGTTTTTGCTGGGAGGATTTTACTACTTATTCTCATTCTGTCTTCTTTCATTCTGTTGTCATTCTGTCCTTCTTCTCGAAGGATGCAGAGAGGTGGTTTTGGGTACCTGGAGTTGGCAGCTGTCAAAGATGAAAAATGTTTCTTGGAGTTTGTCAGGTGTTCTTCTTGAGACCACAAGAGTTTCTCTAAAACATCAGTCAAGGCCCTCTTGTGGAAGGAACTAGAAAGTCCTAGGGGAGGCCTCTCAGAGAGGCTAGATTTATAAACGAGAGTAATCAAGAAGAAGCCGTAATTTAGAAGTAGACTTGTGGCCTGGGAAGTTACTTTCTTTGGACAGCCTTTATTCACTCAGTGTTTGAATAGGGAGGATGCCACTGTCCTTTACTGGGTGTTCACAGCAGAAGGTTTTGTACGTATTCATATATAGCATTTAAAATTTACTATTGGTGAAGAACATTTCTAACAAAAAGTTAGAAATTAGAGTTCTATGACTACATTTATTTGGCAAAGGTTAGAAAGGAAATGAGCTTTGCATAACTCTATTTTAGGGTAGATTGATAGAGAAAATAGTCGTAGATGTTTAAAAAGACAAAAAAAAAAAAAAGCACAAGTATAGTTTCCGGAGGTGTAGCCCAGAAGCAGAGTGCTGACTCTGGGTGTGATCCCCAACACAACAAAAAACAAAATAGACAAGTATAAAAATGTATTCAGAGGTGCGCTATATGTGTGTTTTGTTTGTTTTTTTTTTTTTAAAAAAAAAAAGGAAGCAAAAGTGGACATGGTGGTCCGCGCAAGTAATCCTAGCACTCCAGAGGTAGAGATGGAAGAGAAGGTTGAGACCACCTGGTCTACGGTAGTGAGTTCCCGGTCAGTCAGAACATCATGAGGAGACTTGGTCTCAACTTGTGAAAAAGTACAAAAGCAGGAGAAATGAATGCGGTGAAATGCTCATCTGAAAACTCCACAGACATCTTGCCTGGGTGGCTTCCCCCCCTCCTCAACGCTTTTTGAGCTGTCCTTCCCAGTTACTCGCCTCCTGTGAGACTTTCTAGCCCCGCAGTTGATTCTGAATGTTTCTGAGCTTTTCATGAATGAAATCACACACATACACACACACACACACACACACACACACACACACACACACACACACACAGAGAGAGAGAGAGAGGCTTCTTTTTGCCTGCATAGTCTTTTGAGAGTCAGCCCTGTTGTCCGTTTGTACTGACAGCTTGTTGCCTCCTGTCTGGGTCACACTGTCTGGTATAGGGTAGCCTGTTTATCAGACTCCTTTAGGTTTGGTGCAGTTGTGAGGAAACCTGCTCTCAACGCTGCTGTAGTCTCCTCGTGGACATTCGTGTCCATTTTCTTCTGTCAGTATGCAGGTATAGAATTATAGCATTATAGGCTTGGGAGTGTTTAACGCTGTCAGAAACTGCTGGACTTGTTCCAAGGTGGTTTTACTCTCTCAGCCATGCGTGGGTTTCACTTCCTGGGAGCATTTGCTGACACTGGGTATTGTCAGTCCTCTTCGTCCTTCCGGGATAGGCAAAGCTGCACCTCATTGTGGTTGTAGTTTGTATTTTCCTAATGTTAAGCATCTTTTCATGTATTTCTTGAGATATCTTTTGCAAGGTGTGTTTTCAAGTTTTTGTACAACTAAAATTCAGTTTTAGCACAGTTTGGGAGGATACTTTAGGACCAGGTCTTGCTATGTACCCATATACTTAAGTACTATGTATGTACTAAGTACATAGGCTGACTATGTACTTACTGTGTGCACCAGGACGCTCTCAGATTGAGGACAGTCTCCCTGTGTCTGCCTCCTAAATGCTGGGAGTACAGGTGTGTGCTTCCATACCAGGTCTAGCCCTGATTTTCTTATTGGATTGTTTTATTATTAAGCTCCAAGAGTTCATTTTCTGCTCTGTGTGTAGATATTTTCTTATAGCTTATGAATATTTTATGGCAGTGCTTGGTTTTCATTTCCCCCACCCCCCTTTTCTCTTCCTTGGTGAGGTCAAGCCCAGGGCTTCACAATACTAGGCAAGAACTACCACTGAGTCCCATCCCCGCTGGGACTTTCATTTTCCGTAATGGGGTGTTTGGATGAGTTGATGTTTGTCGCTTTTAAAAGGCCCTACCTATCAGGTTTTTCTGTTCTGTTTATTGCTGTTAAGGAATTGCCTGTGAGTTGTGCGCTCAGCCCAGTGTGGGGCACTTGTCTAGCATGAGTAAGATGTCTGGATGCCGTTCACAGGTAAGAAAGTGGAGTTTTCTTCAAGGATCCCTTGCCGGCCTCTGGGAAATCTTTGTTTTCCTCTAGAATTGTTGTTGTTTAACTTTTGCATTCAGGTTTGTGAAGAAATGCATGTTTTAAGGTAGCAAAATAGAGATCATATGTACTGGATTTAAATCAATGTTAATATTACAGAGTAATGATGCCCTGAAAAGGAACAGAATTGTTCTTTCCTGTTCAAGGAGCTTCTCTTGCAGTGGAACTTTAAGGGCTGTGTGTTGATCCTCTCTCAGGCTTTGATTGTGGAGACTGAGTAAAGCCGGCCCGGGAGACGAGATGAGCACGGCCGCGGAAAGGAAGTACATCAACGTTAGGAAGAGGCTGGACCAGCTGGGCTACCGCCAGACTCTGACGGTGGAGTGCCTGCCTCTGGTGGAGAAACTCTTCAGGTAAAGATGAAAGTGCGGTTAGAGATGTCTGTGCTCTTTAATCCACGTCCTGAGTTTGTGGTAACCTTCCTGCTTCAGGAAAGCGGCAAGGGGACTTTGGGGAAGTCTGTAAGTCCGCTGAAGCTGTGTGTGCTCTCCTCAGTCCAAAGCCTTGTCCCCAACTAAGGGCCTTCATGGTGCAGGATGCTAGGGATTACCATACCCTCTGTGCTCTTCCGACTCACCGGTTCTGAGTGGTTTCCCAATGGAATTGCACTCTGAGGTTTCCAATAGAGGTCAGAGGTCCTTTTCCTTTTCTGTCTTGTCATTTGTTTTTACCGTTCTGCATTGGTGAGGACAGTCCACAGCCCTGAGTGCGCTGGGCAGGCGCTCTACTCTGAGCTGTACTCCCACCCAGCTCTCCCCTTCAGTGCCCTGTCTGCCAGCTGGTCCTTTGATTTCTTTTATTCTAGAAAGGTTCTCTAATTTGTTGCTGTTGCCGTCACATGTGACCTCAGCTGACAGGCTCTCTGTGATTTCCCCTCCTTTTCCACAAGAGCTGTAGTGTGGAGGTTTGAGACTGCAGCAGGTATTTGAGAAGGTTCATTAGTAGGACTACGGGTAACACTGGTAGATAGCAAGGAATGGTAAAGATAACTTGTGACCTTGGATATGACCCCCAAACCTCTCATGACCCAGTGCCTTCGTTTCCTGGCGCTTTGTCCTCACACGTGTTGAGTCACACAAACATGCACTCTCTGTACACTTCTCCCTTTGTCTGTAGTGAGCCCACCGTCTCCCTTCTTCTTGTGTGTCACCCTTGCTCTCCCTGCTGTGTAGGACAGTCACATCAGCCGCATTCGACAGTCGCTGTGCATCATCATCGTCATCTTGGTGTTGTCCCCTTTCATTGCAGATTTCGTAAGATATGGTCGTTTACAGTTGCTATAGATTGCTCATATAGGAAGCTTGGAAATGTTTGATTATCATGTACTAAGTGTCTGATGATTGTAGAATATAAATTCGTCATTATTAAGTGCGTTTTGTGTGTGTTTTCTCATGAAACATTTAGTTAATGAGTGTTCTATAAGCTGTGTTCTTGGAGGTAAGAGCGTGATTTTGGTTTGCTGTCTTCCTGGAGGTTGCATACAGCAGACAACCAGTACATGACTACTCAATAAAGAGCCAGTTGCACCTAGAGAAGGAGCAGGAGGGGAGCTTAAACAGTGATCTGACACAGTAGCTCATTTGTTGGGAGCCTGAGTTAGATGTTGCTGAACAATGGGATTTTTAAACTAAAGGTAAAGTTGTCAATAAAAGTACTTTCAGAACTGGGGGGAAAATAACCAAGCAACAATCTGATGTGTTTGTATTTTATAACTTATGGCTTGTTTTGAGAAACTTTTGAGGACCTTTGATACCTTGAAAGTTCCTAACTGTTCATTCTTGTAAATTCGGTATTACTTTACATTAGCATTATATTTAAGCCTTTTTAGAAATGTATTTGAAGTTACTAGAAGGCTAATAGAATCCTTTCTTGCCTTTCATTTTCTGTCCTTTAACGTTAGTGACTTAGTTCATACAACAGAAAGCCTACGCCAGTCCAGGCTGTCCTCGGCAAAGGCGGAGAAGGAAAGTGCCAACTTCGATTTTGTTTTGGAGCCTTATAAACTTGAGAATACAAGACTGAGCAGGGAGAATAATGAATTGTATCTGGAGTTGATGAAGCTGAGAGAATGCTCAGACCAGCACATTAAAGGTACATGAAACCTTGATGATATTTTTAAATGCAGGACCTTGTCATCTTTGTTTTATAAGTGGAAAAGGCTAAAGTCTCGTTTTAAAGTCCTTGACAAGAAAACTGATAGTCATGCGAACAGCTCCGTCAATGCAGGAGGATGCACTGACGAATGCGTGAGGACGGAGATAAGTGTGTAGTCCTCAGCCATGATAGTCCGCACAATATGTGGATTATGTTTTTGGTTTGCAATTGGTAAAAAGAATATTAAATAGCAGAATAAAAGACATTTTCTTGAAACAGCTGTTGTTCCTATTACTGAAAAGAAAAGTAATGAATGACCGTGTAGCACTTATTAGGCAGTGTTGAGCCAGGAAGGAGATTTCAAAGATAAATTATTTGGTTATCTTTCTATAAACGTTGTATTCAATAATTCTTTAGCTTAAAGCCGACTTACTGGATCAAAGCCATGGTACACATTAGCGATATACAATAATAACAAGAACATAAAGTTGCTTTTTGTGATTATGTGCAGATTTGTTAGCAGTAGGAAGTACATTTAGCTTAATCCAACCTGTAAGGCTCAGGTGGCACCTCTCAGCTTGGTGCCAATGTCTTGATCTTTGGAGTTATATTTTCATCTTTCTCACTTTAAGAGTTGAAAACTACATTGAAAAAGTGTGCACACGAGACAGCTGATCTGAAGTTTCTGAATAACCAGTACGTTCATAAGCTCAAACTCCTGGAGAAAGAGAGCAAAGCTAAGAATGAGAAAATCCAACAGCTTCAAGAAAAGAATTTGCACGCTGTAGTTCAGACTCCCGGTGAGTCCTCCCCTTCTCGAGCCAAGCTGGCTGGTGTGCTCATGACGACAGACTGGACTGTGCCTTTCTCATGAGAACCAATCTCTTTAGAAAGTGCAGCCCTAGTCTGGCCTGCTCCTGAGAAAGTAAACGGGTTATGAGTTTTATATGACTCTAAGATGAATCTACCCATTTATAAATATTTCTGCTGCCTATAAAGATAATTGCAGAGGTGTTCACTATTGATTCAGATTATAGTATGACTGTATTACAGGTGACATCCTATTATATTTTAGTTGTGCTCTTTGGAGTTTCAGTTATCTGCTCGCCGTGTGTGTTTCTGCTCTGTTTGTACAGGAATGTGTGCGTGTGCATATGTAGGCCAGAAGTCAACTTTGGATTTCTTTCTCTATTGCTTTCCACCATTGTTTTGAGACAAGGTTTCTCACTGAGCCTTGAGTTTGTCTATGAGGCTAGACGGCCTGATCCACAAGCCCCAGGGATTTTTCTGCCTCTGCTTCTCCGATGCTGGGATTACAGGCTTTGACACCACCACTAATTTTTTTTTCCATGGTTTCTGGGATCAAATTCAGATCCTCATGCTTGAATGGCAGACACTTTGACAGCTGAGCCATCTCCAGCCTCCAGTTACCTGTTCTTTTGGCATTGTTTAATAAGCAGTGTATTTTAGTTCTTACTGCCAGTGCTCCTCACCTGACAGTTGTCTGATGGTGACATTGTAGCTCATGGCATTGGTCACTGAAAGACACACTTAGATTTTAATCCTGCCAAAATCTAATCTAGCCAAGGAACAGTTTAAACCTGTGTGCATATGCCAAGCCCGCAGGCATAGAAAACTCATTTTATAGTCTCATTAAATGTTTGAGAAATACATTGTTCAGTCAGAGATCAGGGTGAATATTTACATTAGAGCCCACTTTAACAGAGAAGGTTAATCTGTGCTGTTCAGAATGTAGAAAAGTGTGTGGTTCTTCTTGGTTTTTAAGACATCTATTTCTGCATTCTTAGGAGGCAAGAAAAGAAGCATTGCATTTAGGCGCCAGCGGATGCAAATCGATGAACCAGCCCCACCCTCTGAAGTCAGTTCCTACCCAGTTCCACAGCCAGAGGACCCATACATTGCAGACCTCCTGCAAGTGGCTGATAACAGGTGTGTTACATACTCGTTTGCTGAGCTGGAAGGGGTGGATGTGTGCGTGTCTCAAGGACCTGAGTTCAATCATTGTCATCATCATCTTCATCTTTGTTTCTGTCCTGTCAGCCAGCCTCCAAATAATGACGGAAACTTCCTACTAATTATGAAAGCTTGCCTGTAGCTTAGGCTTGTTCCTAACTAGCTCTTATAACTTAAATTAACCCATTTATGTTAATCTACATTCTGTCATGTCGTGTTACCTCTTTTCTATCTTGTATCATCTGTTTCTTCTCCATGTTTCTTGGCTTCTCTCATGCGCCTTGAGCATCTCCTACTTCCTCTCTCTCTGCCCAGAAGTTCCCCTTATACCTCCTGCTTAGCTGTTGGCCATTCAGCTCTTTATTAAGACAATCACAGCAATATATCCTCACACAGTGTACAAATATCCCACATCATTTGTTGGCTTGTTTGATTACTAGCTGCGTTGTAAGATGTTTAGTGGGAAAACTTGGCCTTGTTAATTGTGTCCCTGCATCTAGCACAGAACTTTGCATAGGTCCTCAGTAGGTGTTTTCAGAATGATAAGGACACTTTTTACTTGTTTAAAAGCTTTGTTTTCTAGTAAGTCTTGTATCTGAGGTTTCTGATACTTTCATACTTGCTATAAAATACCTTACTGCTGATAGGAACCTATTTCAATCGAGTTGCTTTGACATTCAGTTTCATCTAAGTAGGTTAACTTTTACTGGAATCTCTACTGCTTCAGACTTAAAGCAAAATGCCAGCTGGACATGAATAGAATGCTATCTTGATCTGAAATTCTTCTCTTCTGCATTCTTTAGCCCTATATTTATATCCTTTTATAAGTCAGAGTCAGAAATAAATTCTTTTTAATTAACTGTTCATTAGGCCTCCTGGACAAGGCTTGAGTCCATGCCCTGAGGTCCTCAGAGTAAGGTCCTGCTACTGTTTGGGCATGCTTGAGCCCAGGTGTCACTGAGGGAGTTACAGGGCTTTAAGGGCAAGAGAACAAACGCCAGAGACACTCTAGTGATTCTGGGGGAGGCCTCCAAACTGGGGTACATGGGAAGACAGTGCAGGTAAGGACTTTGTGGTTCATAGAGAATACAGAGGAGGTTTTCCAACCACTCATCATTTCTAAAAGAGCATTGGTTGAGATCTCCTGAAGACACTTCAGTCATTTATTCTCTCCCAATATCATGTGCCTGTGTTTATGTGGCTACCTTGACCTTTTGTGGGCTGCTTATCGGCTAAAGTTATGGCTGGGCTGCCAGGTAGTCTTCTTTAAAGAATTGTTTACACTGTAGAAGTGCCTCAGTCTCTGTTTCTGTTTGCTTTGGTGTGCACACACACATTGCATAGAGTCTCCTGCATTGATCTTGGAGTGCTTGCATGCCTGCTTGTATCCTTAGTAGGTTAATAGAAACTTCTGTCTTCAGTAAATTTTGAATTGAGCTCTGCAGCCCACTTATTGCAGCTCCTGGACAATGTCCCTTCAAAGCAGACCCGCTTCAGGCTTTTCCCATCAAAAGTGGGTTATGCCATACTTAGACAATAGAATCCATGTGGAGCTCAGATGGTTTGGATGAAGTCTTGATTCTTAGAGCTCTTAGGTTCTAGGAAAAATAGACTTTGCTAGAGTCACTAGAAAATTGCTGTTTTCTCCATTTTCTCCTCTCCAAAAGTGTAAAGTAGTTTAGTAGGCAGCTCAGGGCTGGTTAGGGTCAGAACACACATGCTTGTCCCTTGTCTCACTTAGTGATACTGTTAATTTCTAGCTAGACCTTGAGTTTCCTGAGCCTAAAAATTGGTAATTGTACCTCAGAGTCACTCTGAGGACACAGCTGAAGAGTGAGGTGATTATTACATGACGTGTCTAAGTTTCAAATCACTTGCCTCTCAATTGTGATCCCTCCCTCTATAAAATTAGCTCTCCAAAGTGATGGACTGTGTTTAATGATGAGGCTCTGGGATCCTGCAGCACAGTATTGCACCCCCCTCGCCCAAGTACCCGGTAGCCGGAAGTGGGATTTTATGCAACAACAATGACTTTCATGTTCCATTGTATTGTCTCTTTAACCCAAGTCTGCTCCATATGCTGACACTGGTTATCCATGTTTCAGGATTCAGGAACTTCAGGAGGAAGTCCACCAGCTGCAAGAGAAGTTAGCACTGATGGAAAACGGGGTGAGAAATTACAGCAAGCAGGTGGGAATTTGCTTATTTGTGTGTCTGGGTTGAGATGTGTTTGCTCTGATCACGACTAGAATTGTCTTATCCTTGATATTACAGCTACCTAGTTTTAAGTGCAGCCTTTATCTTTTCCAAAAAGCTTGTTAGTCGAGGTAATAGGTGGAGTAGCTTTAGAGTGCCTGGTCCGTTCCCTTCATTATTCACTGAGGTAAGCAGCAATTTTTAAATTGTTTTGGTTTTTTTTTTATTTTATTCTGTTTCCCCAAATCAAAAAAAATTGCCCCAAATAAAAATAGTGTGTTACTATGTTTATCTCAAGAATAATTTTATATAAGTATGGCAGCATATTTTTATAATTATGTTTGTTAAGAGGGCCAGCTAGATGCCTCAGCAGATAGAGGTGCTTGTCACCCGGCCTGATGACCTGAGTTTGATCTCCAGGACCCAAACGGTGGAGGGAGAAAACAGACTCCCAAAAGTTGCCCTCTGACCTCCGTTTATGAGGCATGCACACACACATACAATATATATAATAAATATTTTTTTAAAAAACACGAAAGAGAATTGTATAATTTTTTTTTGTTCATTTCTTTTTTACTGAATCTAAGCCTTTGGACAGTTCCTCTTCTGGGTTGCTGTGCTCGCTGTGGTTGCTCTGGAAGCATTACTGCAGCATGGCAGCTTCCTAAGGAGAAGGACCCAGCAGCTGCAGTTAGATCATAGCCACAGCAAGCTTCGTGCTTGTGCTCTCTGTGTTGTCTCTGGGTTAAACAGCGTGCTTTATTTCCTTCTGTGCTTACTGAAGTTTAAACTGGGTAATGTTTTTTTCATGTGCATGGCTATATTGCATGATCTGCACATATAACTCTGTATGCTGGTATAACTCTGTAACATGAGGGCTGGGCTTGTTGGGGTTTCTGTCCTGCCCGGTGCCCCAGCTGTTTAGTCCCAAAGAAAGTCACACAGAGGTCTCCATAAGATTATAAACTGATTGGCCCATTAGCTCAGGCTACTTATTAGCTCTTGTAGCTTATATTAACCCATTATTCTTATCTATGTTAACCACATGGCTCGGTACCTTTCTCAGCGGGGCAGGTCACATCTTGCTTCTTCCGTGGTCTGGGGAGGACTGGGGGAAGAGCTTCCTTCTTCCCAGAATACTCCTGTTCTCATTGCCCCACCTCTACTTCCTGTCTGGTTGACCCATCTATACTTCCTGCCTAGCCAATCAGTGTTTATTTAAAACATGATTGACAGAATACAGATAATTCTCCCATACCATAACTCTTCGTTTGTAAAGTACTTTGAAAATCATTTGGATTGGAAAGGAGTTAAAGAAAGTTCTAATATTATCAAACCAAAAACCCCCACAAACAAACATTCAAAGTCCTTTATGAAGGTACTATAACATTGGTTCTCAGCCTGTGGGTCTTGACTTCTTTGGGGTCAAATGACACTCTCACAGGGGTCACGTTATCAAATATCATGTACATCAGATACTTATATTATGATCCATAACAGTAGTAAAATTACAGTTATGAAGTAGCAAAGAAAATAATTTTATGGTTGGGGTCACCACAACACGAAGAGTTGTAAGGGTAGCAGCAGTAGGAAGGCTGAGAGCCACTGCAGTCATCACACTGGGCTGTGACTTTGGGATAAAAAGCTTGCCTAGCATTAGGCACCAGATTCAATTCGTAGCATAGCAGAAAAAGGAAAAAGAAGCACAAATTGAACGTCGTTGTGTTTTTTTCAGTTTATAACCACATTTTCCCAAGTACTTTATGAACAGAAGGTGCCCAAGCCTTGCCGTCCATCTCTGAGGTGGCTGAAGTGTTTGGAGGACATCACTTGGTCATGCTGGTTAAAGCACTAGTTCACTAACTATCCGTCTTAGCTGTGCCCTCTCTGCTGTGCATTCTTCTTTGGCTTGTGTTTGTTCTTCTCAGAAGGTATTCGCGTTGTGAGGGCTAGCGGTCAGCTCAGTGGCAGGCACTTACCCAGCCTGCTGAAAGCCCCCAACTGAAAACAGTAACAGCACCCCTTCGGCTATTCCTGACTTCTTCTGACGATCTATCCCCACTTTCTCAAAGTATCTCCTTGTTTCGGCGTCCTGTTCTTACCTTTAAGTAGTTATATTTGTACTCGGGGTCTCGTAAGACTTAATGGACAGGGGGTTGTGTAGCGGTACTTTCTTGTCAGGACAGCCAGCTCACAAATAATGGCCGGGAGACTTATTATTATGAATGTTTGGCCTTGGCTTTGTTCCTAACTAGTTCTTATAACTTAAATTAACCCATATTTCTTAATCTGCATTTTGTCACATATTTTGTTACTAATATCTGTATTGCCCATCTGCTTCCTCTGCATCTGGCTAGTGACTCCACTTTTCTTCTTCCTAGAGTTCTCTCTCTTTCTGCCTGGAAGTCCTGCCTATACCTCCTGCCTAGCTGTTGGCTGTTCAGCTTTTTATTATACCAAATCACAGCAATATATTTTTACATAGTGTAAAATTTCCCCCTTCTTGTCTAAATAAAAAGAAAAGATTTTTACTCTTAATACAGTAAAATTATATATGATAAAATTATATATGCTACAAGTAAGAATTAAATTTACAATATCCAGCCCATTTGTATTTGGCAAATTTGGAGAAGTTGCTCTATTATCTATCTTATCTTGATGAGTTCAAAGTTTTATTCCTAAACCATTTTCAATCATAAATTGTATTACCATACTAAAAAAAATCTTTCAGACCTTAAATATCTTTTTAGATAAACAACTTAACCTTTAATGTTTTTAATGTTTCACAACCTTACAAACTTTACATCTCTTTTGTAAGTTTCTTTACTGAATTTGGTAACAAGGAAAACTGTATGACTGTCTTCACCTCCTTCAAAGACCCCAGAAGGCTATTATATTACCTGAATAAACAGGAAGTGCAGAACAAGCAACTTCCAAAACTATAGAAACAAGAGAGACATCTGGCTGCCTGAACAGTCACCCAAGGTTCTTCTGCAATGTTGGCGCATCCTTCTTCAACCTACAGGCCAAGAATATATGACAGACTTTTTTGTGAAATGGGAATTTTGAAGGATTATCCTACCTTGTCTTAGCAAAGTTTGGTAGTCACCTTCTTTTGTGTCCTGCTTGTCTGATTTGAACAGCATACTGTCAGCAGTTGAGGTGAGGACAGTTTTTTGCCAAGTGGCTAGCTTTGCCACAAAGAAAGCAAACTCCATATGGAGGTTCTTTGATACCCATCATCCTTTTGAAATAGATTGGTACTGTCAGGAACAGATGCGTCTTACTGTCATAAAAAACCTTATGTTATTAAAACATCTTAAATGCCATAGTCTGTAGATCTCTGAAGTGTTTGGAGAGCATAATCTATCTAAAATATATCTGTTAGACCTTGAAAACATACCTAACATAGCCATAAATTTGATTGTTAAATGACTAACTACTAACCTGTATTTATTAATTATCCTAAGTAGTTTCCAATTACATTGTTAAATGAACCGCATACTATACTTAAAAAAGAATAGAAACATATACAGTATAACAAAAATAACTTTAAATTCATATCAGCATACAAAAATCCATAACAATGTAAAATATTTAAAACTAGTGTTACTTTTTAATTTAAAAGTAAATTCTATGATCTACTCTTTTATTCCATCATTTCTATATCCCCTTTTCTTTTCAGAGTGAGATTCTATTGTTTAGCCTTCTCCCTGACCTTGACCAACCACAACTTGTAACCAACCCTCCTAAATGATGATAAACGTCCAAAATCCATTGAGCAGCCGAAAACCATCCACCCACCTCTTGGGAATGCCCAAGCACCATGTTCTCTAGACTGCTTCCTCTTGTCTGGGGTGACAGCATCTCTAGTGGACCCTGACAAAATTGACATAATAGTCAAGTCCTGAGAGAGCTAGCGACATTATTTTTTGTTTAGTCTCTGTGTTTGGAAAGTGTAGAACTTATCTGAAGTCTTGACTGGACAGTCTTGTGAGACTGGATGGACCATCTTAGGTAGCAACTTTGCAGTTGTTCTGGATACAGATTTTGAGGAAACTGTGACAGAGATATTTTGAGAGGTTGGATCACAGGATATTTGTATTCATTGGTGTCTGGTCCTTTTTTTTCTGAAAACACACAAACTTTTAAAGGTAACATATATGTCTGTGTTAACACAAGTATGGAAAGAGTGGTGTTCTCAAGCCAGCTAAAGATGATGTTTGTTTTACGTTTGAGCAGGTAAAATGCATCTGACAACTCTATTTGCACTGCATAACCAAACCTCTATCCATGCCACATAAAAGGATGGAATATAATAATAGGTCATGAGGACTCTGTAGCCAACAGGATTTATCCTGTCTCATCTAGTCTCAGAGCTGTCCCCATAGTAACGGGATCAGCATATATGTCACCTGTCCTGTAGGGTTTTGTTTGTTTGTTTCTTCCTTTATGTCTATAGCCAAGATTTTTAGGAGGTTTTCCCCAGTCTAATCTAGTCTTTATTAATTTTGAGGAAATCCATAGCTTTTTGTTCACTGTGGATACAAAGGCATAGCCTCTTCCCCAACACAACATGTTTTCTGACTTCCATTCTGAAGTTAAGACTTTCTAAAAATACACAGACTGGTTTAACTTAGCAGTTTCCATAATCCAGTGTCTCTCAACAGCTATTGCTTTTTGTTCATTAACATTTAAACAATTCAGAGTCAACAAAACAACATAAAGGATCCAGACACTCTGTGTATTTTCCATCTTTATGTGGCTTTTCCTTTTATGTTACTTTGCTCTCCATTTAAAGACTATTATGTTTAAACTACTTTTTATGACTGTTTATGCCCTTTTTCTTTTTTTTTCTTTAGTACCTAAGCACATTTTTAAGCACACTATAGCCTATTCAGAGTTTTTCTTGGTCTGGACGTGACTTTTTGCTTTATCTGCAGCCTCCTGTGACCACATGAGCCACGTCTTAACCTGCTAGGCTACTGCTGCATGGCCCAGCTTAGCATATGGCACACTGGCAGCTGGCTCTGCCACCCTCAGTTCCTTGAGAGCCTAGTCTCATGCCAAAGGGTACTGCCTCTGGAGCTGCATTTATCTTCCCCAGCTCTTGGAATTTATTGTGTCCGCCTGCAGCAGGCATTTGTACCCAGTGCCAGCTGTGCAGCCGGGCTTCTTGAGAGAGCCACACCTCTGTCCGCTGAGCTTCAGGAGACCAGTCGCCAGGAAGCGTTCTCAGGCCTTATGTATAAAGTTTGGCCATTAGCTTAGGTTTGTCCCGCTAGCTCTAATAACTTAAATTAACCTGTTTTTACTAATCTGTATTCTTCCATGTGGTCCAGTTGCCTCTACTCCCTTCTGTATGTCTGACTTCTTCAGTCTCCCCCTGGTGTAATCCACACACCTAGATTCCTCTTTTTCTTTCTCTCTCTCCCCAGAAATCCTGTCTCCTCTCCTGCCTAGCTATTGACCATTCAGCTTTTTGTTGCACCAATCACTGCAATATATCTTTACATAGTGTACAGATATTCCACATCAGGGTTGTGTTTGTTCAGTGCTCGATTCTTCACACTTCTCTCCAGTCCAGTCATGCTGAGTCATTTCTGCTGCCTCTGATATTTCCCATGATTTTGTGTATGCATGTTGCTGCCTGGAGCACCCCTTTTTGTGATCCAACACTTCCATAACCTTTATGGACATCCTGCATTGTCTTTGATGATGTTATGGGTATAAACATAGAATGCAGAGTGGGCCACTTCATCCCTTTAAGTACCGGTTCCGTAAGATATCATTTCCTTTACTCTACTGTTGAAGACCTATTATGCTGCAACTGTTGGGGTGCTTGCTGGTACTCCCTGTTATGTTCTCTGTTCCTGGGATTCAAAGTGCATCCATCACTGTGCTGGGAAATTATTGAATTGAATCTTCATTTTTTTTTCTGAATTGGGGGAAAACAAAGTGTGTGTGTGTGTGCATTTTTCTAATTCATGCATGTGAATTGGTTTCAATTTATTAACTAAATTCACCATATTTTTCTATCTTTCTTGATACTCAATTTGATAGCAACTCAGTTGTTAGTATTTTCCATTCATTCCAACATTCATCCATTCTAGCAAGCGCTGAAGTACGTCAGCATTATTCCAGTGCTTGAACATGTGTATAATCTGCCAAGACATTTCTGTTCTTATAAACAATTGCCTAATTTTAGAGGGGAGAAAAAAACCTCAAAATTTAATTAGAATCAGCTCCATAAGAGCACTGATGAGAGCTATGCTGATACTATAGCGTTGGTGTATTCTGTGTTTTCACACGTGTGGACTCCAGTATAAATGGTAGCTGCTTGTATGCATTGTTGCTATATTGATAGGGGAGTTCAGCCAATCAAATTCTGTCTGTGGGGCGTGTTGCCCTAAGGCAAAAGTTTACCTATAAACCTGGAGGGTGCATTTCCCTGCCCTCTCTCACTCTGGCCTGGATCCAGCATTCCAGACGGGTGGGATTCTGGTGTAAGTTTTCCCTTCTGTTTTATTAAAGCTGTATCTTTTGTAAGATAGTCTGGGGACCGTTCATTACCGATCGCACTGCGTCTTCAGTACATAAGGAAAGATCGTATCTAAACGAGAGTTCCGGGTTCAGGATTTGCTTCACATCCTATTTCATCAACTTTATATCCTCAGATTGAGCTAAGAGAACGAGAAATAGAGCGACTATCACTTGCTTTGGATGGCGGCCGTTCCCCTGATATCCTGTCTCTGGAGACTAGAAATAAAACCAATGAAAAGCTTATTGCTCACTTAAATATCCAGGTAATGGCTCTTAGGGCGGCTTCCTTGAGTCAATAAAAATCTGAGGTTTTTAAAATGACCTGTGGGTTGATAAAAGTGGCAGGCTTGTTCACTGAAGTATTTTTTATAAGGGAGTTTATATTATTTATTTATATTTATAGGGGAGTTTTTATTATTTATAAGGGAGTTTTTGTTTGTTTTATTCTTTTTGAGACAGGTTTCTGGGCAGGGCCTTCCATGTGCTCTTTAAAACTCATGAGTGAGTGAGGCGTGGTGACACACTCCTGTAATCTTGTACTTGGGAGGGAGAGAGGCAGAAAGATCGGTTTATGGCCAGTCTCAGCCTCATAGTAAATTCTAGACTATCATGGGTTACATGAGACCCTATCTCAAAAGAACAAAGCAACAAAATATATAGAGAAAAATCAGAAAGTTTTGTTTTAGTATATTTTAAAATATACTAACAAAGTTTATCTTTGTGTCTTGGGGAATTCTTGGTGACTCTGTATTTTTAAAAACTTAATGACTGTTTCATGCTGTAAAAGATAATTTTAAGGTAGATATATGCTTATATATACTACAAGTTATAGATATATGTACTATCTATGATATATGCTGTATGATGCACAATATTAGCTACTTTACATACATATCATACAACATATGTTAATATGTAATATATTATTGACTGTTAATATGATAGTGTAGCTTGGTAGTAAGGCTTGTGTAACATGCAAGTCTCAAGTCCAACCTCACCACTGCCAAGAAGTAGTAACGTAGATAAAACATGCAGCTTGTGTCTGCTTGCACCAGGCTTCGACCTGAGATGAAGAAGCATAAGAGCTCTGTAAGGTGTGACATGGAGCTTAGAAGTTTATATCCAGGGCAGGGCTGGGGGTCTGTCTGTGTGTAATAGGTGGAGTTTGCTCAGAGACAGTAGAGGCAGCATCAAATACACTGTCCAATGGAAACGTGAGTCCAGACAGATGGGATGCAGTATAATTGCAAATAATGTATTTATCCCAGTATATCCCAAACTTTATTTCAGTGTGTGATAGTTTTTACTTTCTGAAAACAACAACAACAAAAACCCAGAACTTTGAAGCTTTATACCGTTTACGTTTATAGCACATCTTAGTTTAGAGTCGCCATGTTTAAAAGTGCTCAGCAGCTACATCTAGATGCTAGTAGCCACTGTATTGGACAGCACAAGCTAGTGTCATTATGACAGTCTTGTCGTATTTTTATAGCTCTGTTGGGAACAAATTCACACAAATTTCTTATCCTTTCTTTCTGTATTTGAAAAATAAAAGCCAGTGGACATGTATTTTCATTGAGGTACACATTGTCAGTTTGGCAAAATAAAATAGTATTTAGGATTACACATACAAATTTAGCTTCATTTAGTTTCAGCATCTTTTAAAATCCTGTTGTTTAGAACTTTTAGTTTGAAACTTTATCACGCGATTGTAAATTGGATTCAGGTTGACTTCCTTCAGCAAGCTAATAAAGAGCTGGAGAAGCATATTCAAGAGCTGGTGGAAACCAAGGAAACGGTGACAAGTGAAGTTGTGAACCTCAGTAACAAGAACGAAAAGCTCTGCCAGGAGCTAACGGAAATCGACCAGCTAGCGCAGCAGCTGGAAAGGCACAAGGAGGAAGTGCTGGAGACTGCCGACAAGGAGCTCGGGGAGGCAAAGGTGATGCTGGCTCTGTGCTGTGGGGTCTCACTAGTCCTGAGCACAGTGAGCTGAGCTCGGGATGGCCATGCCCAGCTTTGGGGCTTGCTTACTGCAGACATGTTTCTACCTTTAATAACCCCAGGTTTGCACCCGTTAGAAGACGGCCTTTGCTGTAGTTGGGCTAGTTTTCCTGAAACACACCTGTTCATAGAGTAAATGTCTACACACCGCCTGATGTCCTCTGGCTTCCATCCCTGTCATTTTATCTCTGAAGTTTGTCCTCTTGTCAGATTTAGCTCAAGAATCCTTGAAAGATTATTTTTGCATGTGTGTGTTTATATCATGTACATTCTTGTGTGTGTATGTTCACATGTGTAGGCATACATATATGCATTGGTGAACATGCATGTCTGTGAGCAAGTGTGTGTAGGCCTGAAGCTGATGTTGGTCATCTGCCTCAATCATTCTTCCTTTATTTATCTGGCAGGGTCTGCCTCTGACCTCAGCGTTTACTGTTTTAGCTTTGTCTAGCTTGTGAGCTTGCCCTAGGGATCCCTGCTTAGCCTCCTTAGTGTTGGGATTAGAGGTGGTTGCCATACCTGCCCAACGTTCATATGGGTACTTGGGATCTGCACTCTGGTCATTAAGCCTGTGCTGTTTGTCCGTTCCCCACTGAGCCATCTTCTCAGCCCCTAAAGGTATTATTAAAACATTTTCCTTGCAGATTTTATAGTTGGTAGCCACTTCATCATCTTTCCACTGAAAAGATGCACAGGGTGAAATTTGTTTGTAATATTCCTCTCTTACTACTAATAAGAAGCCCACAGGAAACATACTCAGTGCTGAAAGATTAAAATCTTTTACTCTGTAATCAGGAACAACTCTAGGACACTTTTATTATTTCTGATTATCATAATACTGAGTCAGAAGTGGTGACTGCCTAGAAATCCCAGCATTTGCAGAGAGACTGAAGCAGGAAGACTGTATTCTAGGCTAGCTGTGGTACACTGTGAAACCATATCTAAAACTAAAACAGTACTGTGAGGCCTTCTCAGCAATTAGACAAATAAATAAATAAAACAATAAAGAAAAGGGCATGTACTTTTCAAAGAAATAGTAAAAAAACTTTTGCTCATATGTTATATGACCTTAATTGTGGAAAATTCAAAGATTTGAACACAATAAGATAGAATAAATAAGTTTAACAAATTGCATCTTATACACATACACACAAATCACATACAATTTTGTATACTAAGAATAAAGAAAATCCAACAAAGAAATTAATTAATCCATTTGCAGCTACATCAGCAAGAATGAACTTAACCAGTTAGGTGAAAACTTTAGACATACTAGAACATTTATGAAGATTAAAGGGCATGTAAGTAGAAAGGCATCCTGTGTGCATTCATAGGTTGTGAAACCACACAGCCTATGAAGTCAACTCAAGTCCTGTCAGGATGCAGTACCAATTTTTCTCAAATGGACAATAGTCTGGAAGTGTATATGGACTCTCAAGAGACTGCATAGCTAAACAGTCTGGGACGAAGATGTGCATTGGGGACGTAACCCAGTGTGCAGAGTGCTTGCCCACATGCACGAGGCCCCGGGCTTGTTCTTCAGAACTGGGGGAAAGGTGTGGAGGTGTATAATTCATATAGTTTTGATTCTGCATTTCTGGTTTTAGTGTATTACTATCCTCTGTGTCTTTCCTCTCTTGTTATACTCCTTCTTGTACATTCTGTGCTTTCACATGCAGTGCCTTGAATGTGACTCCTCATGGCCCGTTGACGAGGCCCATAGATGTCAAGTTGACACAACAGATGCCGTTGGATCACAGTCTTCCAGTGCTTTCTGCTCTCGTAGTCGTGGTGTGAGAGGTCAGGTTAATAAGAGCAGGCTGAGAACATGGAGAGGATGTTAGGAAATGAGCACCATCATTCCCCAGAGCTGAGGCCTGAGACGGGAAACTTGAAGTGGTTCTCTACTTGACAAGTGAGTCCACACAGGCTTTCAGGGCAGCACAGGGTTAAACAGAACCTTCATCTCAACTTCACCCTCTAGTCACTGAACTAGAGTCCTAGACTTTACTGACAGAGAGTGCAAACCAACTGGTCTTACTCCTTATACCATAGTAATGTATAGTTTTAGGGTCTTAGATGCTCACCTAATAGACTTTTTATTCCTAGAAAGAGATTAAAAGAAACCTCTGTGAAATGCGGAACCTTGAGGAAAAAATGACAAAACTTCAACTGGTAAGTTGATGTCACACTATTACCAGTGTTTTCAGCATGGAATTGATGCCCAGTTTTTATAAGTCTATTGAGAATCAATGTATATGGATAATATTCAGTCTTTTTATTAAACTGTGTGGTTTTGGAATTGTAGGACCATCACTGCTAATTCCAGAACATCATCATTCTGGAAAGAAACCTTTACCTATCAATAGTCACTCCATTACCTTCTGTTTAGCCCCTGACATCCACTCACCTACCTTCAGGTTCTAGAGTTCTCATGCTGACTGTTTGTATAAATGGATCATGTATTGTGTGGCCTTTTGCGTCAGGCTTCTTTTACTTAGCATGTTTGTAAGGTTTGTGAAGTCATAGCATGAATGGGAATTTCATTCCTTTCTGTAGCTGAGTGATGAATGTTCCACACTGTGGTTATACAGTTTCATAGTTTTATAATTCTCTAATCTTTTATAGCATGGGTTTATTATTATAACTGAATGTGAGACCCTGGTAGGAATTCTATATTCCTCTAACTACTTTGTGGCTTAGCAGTTCCTAGTGTTAGTAAGATCAAGACCTGGTATTTATTTGTTGCTATTTGAAGTATTCATTCTCCTTTTAATTGCTTTGTTTGATGTAATTCAAGCTATTTTTCTAGTCACAATGCTTGTCCCTGTAGCCTTTGGTGAGAAAGATAGGCTTTGTTTTAAAAGACTCCTCAATATAGGGGCCCAGTGTGGAATTAGGAGAATACCTTACAGGCTAAAACTGGCCATCACTCAGAGGTGGAAGGCTCTCTTCCTTGTGATAACCTGCTATGTTGGAAGGGTTCCCCGTATGATTAGAAGCAAAGACCAACAGAAGCTTGCATCTCTTCACTATGTATAGTCTACACTGCTGTTTTCTGGTGACATGCTGTTTCTGTGGGATGGTAGCCTGTATTCAGTTTTGAACATATAGTATGAACAGTGGCTTCGTGACGGACAGTGGAACTTTCCAGGGAAAAGAGGTCATTCGGACTCACTGGCTGCATTTAAGTAACAGCAGGACTTTTAAGAGGTGAATGTTATAAACAAGAAATTTCACTCTCTACGTCTTTGAAGCAGTGTGCTAAAGGCATTTGGAAAGGGAGAATGAGAGAAGAGAACTCACACATACATGTGTGTGCAAGAGGGTTTACTGTGGTTCACTATTGTCTGCACTGAGTGCTGAGGGCGGTCAGCAGTGCTGGTCTCAGATCCGTGGTCGATTTCTGTGACCCTGGCTGACCTGCTAACAGTTGCTTATATTTTCTGTTAGTTTTATGCTTTATGTATTTCTCAGATAATAATTGATTGCTGATGTTCACTACACATTTGCCATGACAGAAGCAGTGACGATGTCACTGGTCTGCACTGCTGCGCTCTTTAAATATAGGCATTAATAAGTTGTGTTGTGCTAAGCAGTAAGTTGTGGGACGATGTACTAAGCAAATGAATAACGAATAAAACGTAAGGGTTCTACCTTCCACAAAAGAGCATTGTTAGCATGGGCTTCATGCATGGTGTGTTTGGTGTGTGTGTGTGTGTGTGTGTGTGTGTGTTTTGCTTTTAATTTTTTTACATGCAATTTATTTTGATCATGCTTTTTCTCCCCTCACTTCTCCCAAATTCTCCTTCCCTACCCAACTTTCTTATCTCTCTTTCTCACTCTCTCCCTTTCTCCAAAACAAAACAAAAACAAATGAAAACCCAGTAAGACAAAAAAATACCAAAATAAAAATGCACACGAAAAACATAGAGTCCATTTTGTTTGGCCAACTGGGCATGGGGCCTGCCTTGGAGTATGGTTAATATACAAAGTGGCACTCCATTGGGCAATACTGACTTTCCCTTTCCCAGCAGGTATCAATTGCAGATAACTTCTTCATTAGGGGTGGGAGACTGTTCATTTTCCCTTCTCTGCTGGGCCACATCTGGCCATGAACCCTGAGTTAGGCCTGTGTGTGCTGAAGCAGTCTCTGTGAGTTCATTTGTGTATTAGTTGTCTTGTGTGTGGAAGACACTGTTTCCTTGTAGTCATCCACCATCGCTGACTCTTACCAGCTTTCTGAATCCTCTTCCACACAGATTCCTGATCCTTGGGGGGGGGGGCTTGATAAGACACCCCATTTAGAACTTAGTGCCAATGTCTCTCACTCTGCACATCATCCAATCATGGTTCTCGGTGTTAGTTCCCATCCACTGTGAGAGGAAACTTCTCTGATGAGAGTTCAGCGTGGCAGTGATTAAGAGTCCCAGCCCAGTATGCCGACTGGGTTCTGTTCTTTCATGGTTGGTGCATTTTGTCACAATTGAAGTGATTGAAGTAGTGCAGGTTCATACGTAATTATAGAATTACCATTTTGCAGGAATTAGACTTATGCCACAAGGAAAAGGAGAGACTAAATGATGAGCTCCTTCTGAAATCAGACCTGGAAACTGTTGTTCATCAGCTTGAACAAGAAAAGAACAGACTTAGCAAAAAATTGGAAACTTTTGCAGTCACAGGTAAGATGGCAAATGTAAGTTAGAAAGTGGCTTTGCCCTCTGTATGTTGTACTAGTAGATGACCCTCCGTGCATTCGTGCCAAGCCCTTGCTGTGAACCAGAAGTGATGCTGGGCAGGGTGGGCACGATAGGAAGCCCTCCCTGGATTCTGACTGGTTGACACAGGAGAGGCTGTTAGAATGTTTTGCAGTGGAAGTGTGTGCTTCTTTGAGGCAGACTAAGAAGACCATTCTGAAATGGCAGACATTGCAGTGCAGAGTCTTTTAAAGGACTGTAGCTCCTCACCCCATTCCAGACGGCCTGTCCCCGCCCACCGGCAGAACTGCCCTGCATGATGCAGGCAGCTTTTCTCGCATTAGCTTGTTCCTTTTTAACATTTACCACAGTTGCTCATTCCTTCTTGCTCGTCATTCCTTCATGGGATAAAATGGCCAGTTCATGAGCTCTCTAATGTCATGAATTAGTCAGTTTGCATTTAATAAATTGTGCATCTGCAGAATGGATGAAGAGGAAGATGGCGGCATTAAATCTGTCATGAAAGCGACTCTTAGTCAGTGTTGTGAGTGTAGTCCCACAGGCTGAACTCTGTGAGGTTGCTAGTATTTGCTTTGTTTTAGATCATGGAAAAGTAACTTTTACTGATAAAAACTAATCATTGTGAGTTGGATTGTTTGTGGTGATATATTCCTACAGTCCCAGGCACTTGACGGGCACAAGGGCATTTTGAACCCAGGAGTTTGCATCAATTCTATCCTATCTCAAAAATAGCAGCAGAAAAGTAATAGTGTGCTTCTTGGGAGAAAACAATGAGTTGTTTTGGTTTCTTTGTGCATGTGTTAAACCCAAGCTCTGAAGTGTGAGCCTGCAGGGTTGTTGACTCTGCTTTCCTCAGTGCTCCTTGAAGGTCTCTGGGAAGCCTCACTCGGAAATGCATTGCTTTTCACATAGTGCTAGATGGGATCCAGCTGTGATAACATCAGCAGAGGGTGGCCTTCACTTGTTGGACATTATTTATTGTTGATGTTTGGCTTTTGTTTTCTTCTTGTTCTCACTATTTATTCGATATGTCTGATCTTTGTAGTTGACAGAACAGTTCAGGATTGCTAGTAGTTTTTTGTTTCTTTGACTAATCCACATTATATACACAACATTATCTTAACCACTTTAATTTGCAGAAAGAGAACTGACTTTGGAAGTTGAGAGGATGAGGCTAGAACATGGGATAAAACGTCGAGATAAGTCTCCCTCTCGTTTAGATACATTCCTGAGAGGCATAGAGGAGGAGCGAGACTATTACAAGAAAGAACTGGAAAAGCTCCAGCATATCATCCAGCGGAGAACTTGTTCTGTAAATTACTATGCCCGGGAAAAGACCTCAATATCCAAATGCTCAGAAAAGGTAAAACATTTTATAAGAGTAATCAAAGGGGGATATGTGTGCGCATGCGTGTGTGATAAACCTTTTTGCTTTATTGCTGTAATAAATGCAACGTTATTTATACATAATTTTCAAAGTCCTAATCTTGATTTTTGTTTTTACAATAACTTGCAATGTGAAAGAATCCTGCATTATTAGAGAAACTATCCAACAATTAAGGACAACATTTTGATTTCTATAAATTTAGGTTGAATAGCAGAGTCATGTGAGAGGCTTTGTAGGCTTTCAGAAGCCAAAACTCAGACTCAAAATACTGTATGTTTCTGCTCTTTCCAGGATTTATGTTCTGTGACAGCTGTACTTTCCCTCTGCTAACAGAGTAGCTCTGTCCTCATGGCACACAACAGCCTTTATGTCCTTCTCAGCTTCAAAGCGCCAGTACTAGCTGCAGGCATGGTGTGTGACTGCATAAGAACTCAAGTCAAATGAGTGTGTGATACAGTTGTGAGCATGGAGACCTGGGGGTGCAATTCACACCTAAAAGTAGATATTATAATCATGTGTAGAAACACTTGGTTAGCAGACAGCCAAGGGCTCTCTCAATCTGGATCTGGTGCTGTGGCTGTCAGCTTCCTGCTTTATGATAAACTGTTAAGCACAGTTTCTTGGAATTACAATAAATCAGGAAAAATTTAGGCGTTTTTCATATCAGTGAACTTCATTATCCCAACCTCATCGAGCTTCTTTTGTCTTTGATGGGAACATTTCCCCTTTAACCTTACACTCACCGTGACTCCCAGCCTGAGTCTGAGGACAGCCCGAGGCTTTGGAGCTGGAAGCCTGATGGATGCAAGTTTCAACCTCTTGTGCCAGCTGATGGTAGACCTTGGAGAAGCTGACTTCATGCAGCCCTGATTCCTCGTGTGCAGATACAGAAACACAACTCCATCTGCTTAGAAAGATTGAATGAGGTCATCGACATACGGGTCCTCTAGCTTTTCTAGTTTCCAACTAGGAAACAGTTTGTTTCTCTATTGCTTGCTGGTTTAAAGTGGCTCTGATCTGTATGATTAACTTCAGTAGGTGTATAATGTCTTTGATGAATGAGGTATGGACTGTAGAAATAGTGATAATAGTTCCTAAATAAATCAGTATCAGAAATATATTTTATGTTAGTCGACAAAGAAACTGATCTCAAATGATGATTCTGAGAAAAGTCAACAGAACAGTTCCGGTAAAAAATGACTATGTCTGAAACACACACACACACCCTCCCTGTGGTGACTTACATCTGTAATCTCCGTACTGTGGGAGAAGCAAGAGGATTGGTATAAATTCAAGGCCAGCCTTGGTACAAAGCAAGTTCCGGGGCAGCCAAGGTTATATAGTGAGACCCTGTCTCAAAGTAAGAAAGAAGAAGAAAAGGGATTCTTGATGTTGTACCTTCAGCACTGTGCTTGTTGCTTATTAATGTGTTGAGAATAATAGAGAAAGGGTGTTAACATGCGTTGTATAATACTAATGTAAATATTACACACAAGATACATTTGCAGAAAAGTTTAGCATTCTTCCTCAAGCAGAAAAGCCAGGAAATGTTCAGGTGCCGTACCAGGTACTGAACACAAAATGACAGAAACAGGAGCCCTGTGTCTCTGACAGAAATTCAATCTAGTAAGTACATTAATGCAAAAGTTTACATCATACCCCTTTACAGTATGTAAATTTAGGGGTATATCTGCCATTGAGCTGCATCCCTGACTGCTTTAATATCTCATTTATATTAAGTGTTAATGAAGACTGTACGGGAACAATTCAGAACGTCCATCTGAGTTATATGGGGAATCTGGAAGGAGTCCTTGTAGAAAGTGACATTTGAGCTGAGGTATAGTCAGTAATGAAAACAGTTGTGGGTCTTTATTCATTGCACTCCTTTTCCAGGGTGTGCAAACTACATTCTGTAAGATGGATGTTAGGTCACAGGTTTTCTGCCCTTTAATGCAGCCGTGATATCCAGTTATGTTCATCATTGCTTTAGTTGTGCTTGTTCCTATGTGGAAGCCGCCTCACACATTTCCACTACTTACTGAATCTTCATGGGTATTATCTATGCTCAGTGCATATCAAGTAATATAAGCCTAGACTCTTTCCAGTTGTGTTACTTTACTCTTGCTGTGACAAAACACTAGGACCCAGGCAACATGTAAAAGAAAGTGTAAATTAGGCTTATGGCTTCAGAGGGATCCACTCCATGAAAGCGGAGCAAGGGCGTGGCAGGAACAGCTGAGAGTCCGCATTTGGATCCACAGGCAGGAGGCAGAGAGCATATTGGGGAAGGGGATCTTTTGAAACTTCAAATCCTGTTCCCACTGACACTTCTTCCATGAAGGCTACACTTCCCAATCCTTTCTAAACAGTTCCAGAAACTTAGAACTAAGTATTCAAACTTGAGCCTATAGTGGCTATTATCATTTCAACTGCCACATTAGTATAGCAGTTTATCTGGATTTCTATATTTAGGTCATTGACGCGCTGTAAATTTACCATCCTCATGGTAGTGATCACTGGATCCTCTGAATTGTGCTATGATAACAGATATATTCTTAGAAATGTTGGAAATCAGTGGATTGTTGGAAGAAATTTTGGTTAGTCAGTTCACATCTCAATAGATACCGACTGGCATCATTGAACAGATGGACCATGTGGGTATGAAGCTGGGACAACAGTTGGGGCTGTTTTACCTGAGATGCCAACCGTAATGGTCATTTATAGAAGACAGTACGCACATAACTCCCTGGACTCTTCCTTGGGAGAGTTATAAAGAAGTGATTCTGAACACTTAGCATGCATCAGAATGACTGGAAGACCTGAAAAAATGTCCTATGCTCTCCTCCCCAGGAGCCCAGCATGGGCCCTCCACTTCGTGTGCACACCAAGCCTCTAGGTGCTGCCTATCACCTGGTCTAGAGGTTATAGTTTAGGTGCCGCTAATGTGCACTGGGAACAGCTCGGGGGAACACCTGTGGAACCTTTAATGAGATCTGCACAGGTGGTGTTATTGGCAGCCGTGCACCTTCCTGAGAACCCAAAGCCAGGGAGTTTGCCCCATTCCTGCCAGTGCTTTCATCTGCTCTCACGGAATTTATCCTTTAATTACATTGAAAGAACTTCTGTTCTTCTGTCTGTGAGCCTGCTTCAGCCAGCCTCGTCACCAGCGTCTCTGTGACAGCCGCACGGTTGTAATTATAACAAATGATAATGTGGATCTGTGTAATTGTTTCAGGGCGATCACAATTCAGACATTCATCTGATCACAAGAGAACGAGATGAGCTTCAGCGCATGCTAGAGAGATTTGAAAAATACATGGAGGATATTCAGTGCAATGTGAAGCTGCTCACAGCGGAAAGGGATAAACTCAGTGTCTTGTATAACGAAGTAAGGAGTGGGTCCTAATTATTGCACAGGTCATTTCAAATCAGTTAGTTATAACGGAGCCACTTTGTATCCTGCATGTTTTCCTGACACAGGGACTCAGGATTTTCCTTCCCAGTTCAGATGAAAAGTGGTAGTAGTTTGGACTGTCATCTTCTTCTCAAAACAGAAATTTCTCTTCGTTTTTCATGTTCGTTTTCCCTCTTTCTAGTTTATCAATGTGTCAGGTCAGTTAGAGATGGTCTCTTTGTTCTAAAATTAACTGAACAGACCTTAGCTGACTCTGTCAAAATTGTTGTGAGCTTTAGACACGCTACCACATATCTGAGTCCTAGGGATAAACTGGATATGCAGCCCCTGTTTGAAATATTGACTCTTAAGTTAGCCTCTAATTCTGAGAAGATGGCGATGGCTTTGTCGTCAGAGTGCCTGCCACACAAGCCTGAGGCCCTGCAGTCAGATACTGAACAACTAAAATCCAGGCATGCTGGCTCTCATCTGTAATGTTAACACTTGAGGGGTCAAGACAGGTGGGTCTCCAGAGCCTGTTAGTCCAGGCTAACCGGGCAGTGAGAGATGGTGTTGTATGCACACACTGAGGGTTCGCTCCCTGCTAGAATCTGAGCTGGCAAACAGTGAGCTGACTGAACAAATCCTGGAGTTTGTAGCTGGTTTGTCCACACCTCTCTCTCATGACAGGAGGGGAAGACATGGAAGTGAAAAGAGACACGTTCACTTTTGTGAGCTTTTCTAGGACTTGGCAGTGCATTCATTACATGGATCCACTTCCGGAGCTCCCCACAGTAGACTTGGCTCTTAACCTTCCTGAGTCTACCTAGTTAGTTCTTCTCTGTCTGTCTGCTTCTAGTTTCCAGTGTTGTGTGGCCGCAGCCTCTCTTACTCTTCTTGCCTTTGGGACTTTAGTCTTTAATTTTAATCCTTTTACTTTTATTTTATTGGAATTTGGGAAGAAAGGGAAAGAAGCATGTATTTAATATATCCCTACCCCAGGCCCTTTCTAAAATAATGGAATATATCTAAAGTACTTTTATATCTCTTACTGCTTTAAGGCTAAGGAAGAGTTGTGTGCACTGAGACAGGATTCTACTAATGTGACAGTCCCCAACAGTCTTGTTAGTTGTATGGAGAAGGAGAAGGAACGTGCGTTATCCGACTTAAGAAGAATCACAGCAGAAAAGGAAGCTCTGCGAGAGAAGTTGAAGGTCAGTAGTTCAGCTTACATCCTTTGGAAAGGTAATTGATTGAGTACTGGGGGAGAAAGTGAAGTAGCATGCTGTATTGTACACTTGCCCAACTGCCACCCCATGACTGTGCTTTCCTGGGAAGTTTCTACTTAGTATATCCATCGAGGAGGAGCCAGCATAGTAGCAGCCCAAACTGAACCACCTTGTTCGTGTGTGGCCTCATAGCTAAGAGTATTCCAGCACTGATTAAGTGTTGTCCATAGCTGCTTTCCTACCATGGTAGCAGAGTTGGGACGTCAGAGCGGACACATTTAGCCCCAGGACCCAAGGTATTTGCCATCAGTCCTTGCAGAAGCCATGTGCCACACCCTGAATTCGGGATTGTTGTAGGTCGATAGTCTTTTCTTTTTTACTTAATGACAATGGTGATTTTTCACCTAGTAGACAGTTTACCCATTTAATGAAAGGGACAGTTCAGTGGCTTTTTGCTGTCCCTTTTCTCCCTGTCTTTTATAACTTCCAGCATAATTAATCTTAGAAAAACTCATTACCACAGAAAGGAATCTTGTATCCATTGTAATAGCTTCAGTTTGCCCCAGGCCTTCTCTGCTGTAGGCACTACTAATTCACTTTCTGTCTCCGTGCGTTTGCCTTCTCTGAACATTTCATATGAACTGGATCATTAAATGTGATTGTTCTTTCATTTTGTGATGTTGGGCATTGAACCCAGGGTCTAGCATATACAAGAGAATCACTCTACCACTGAGCTACCCCAGTCCACACGTATTTTAATGTTTGGTGTTTCTCAGCCTGCTATCCTTAAGGTTCGTCCATGGGTAAAGCTCGCAGGAGTATTTGTGTACAGTTTTCATTCCTCTTCGGTGGATTATGAGTCTTATAATTGCTCCTGAATAAGTGTGGTAATACATAACAGTCCACAGGGTATGTTCTGAGTGTTCTTATTGTAGAAGCCATGGATGCTTCCACTTAATATTATGAAATAAATGCTTTGAAAGTAACTACTTAGGAACAAAAAATAAACACTTTAAGCATAGCCTTTATGCTACAAATCTTAGTTAAAGTTTTATACCCAAAGGCAGTGTAAGAATGTTTTTAATTGGAGTCTTTTGGAATGCTGCCTTCTAGAAATTAAAAAAAAAAAAGTCAGTTAAAATTACAGAGAGAAGGCTTCTGTGCAGTATGGCACCCTTTAGCACAGCTGCGCACTTACCCTTTTCCGTATCTGTTGTAATGACCAGAAATGTAAAAATAGACTTTTAAAAACACCGTATTAGTGCTAACAGCTCAGAAAGACTGCATTCTGATTAGCAGACCCTTCTGGGTTGTAGGAGGCCGGCTTTTGTGAATTTCCAAGAGAACTTTCTTTTAAAAACAGCTCTACTCGTCTGACTCCTCCAGCCTTCTGGAGTGTTTCCTGCCTCCTGTCTCCTGACCACCCTGCTCTTCAGCAGCCATTATGACTAAGCTCTCCCTGAAAGCTCTGAATGACAGCTGTCAGCCAGGGCCATTGGTGCCACCTCCTGAACAACTAAGCCTTTCCCCAGGAGGGTTCTGTTCCAAGTGCTTTTTAAACAGGAGCCATCACCGGAGATCCTCACAGAAGCCGTTCTGATCGTTCCTGTGTACAACTGAGAGCCCTGAATTTGAATGAGTTTAAATAACTCGTCTAGCCACCCCCATCTGTGCTTCCAGTCTCCTTGCATCCTCCTTTCCTTCCTTTCAGTTGTTCCCTTCTTTGTCTTCTGCCCTTTGTGCTCTGACTCACGTTTAACATTGATTTTAGACTCACCTTTCAAAGATGTAAATCTGGTCATGTTACTTCTAGTAAAGTTAATTCCCTGTTAAAAGATCGTTAGTGACCAGCCCTGGCTATGTTAAGGCCTGTCATCTTTCCCCGACACTCATTTCTGCTATTTCCTACTCCCTTTTCTGCAGACTCTTGGCTTAAGGGGCCTTTTCTCAGTCTCCTGCAGTGGACTGAGAGTCCTCCACCTCTTCAGACGCCTTCTCTGTCTTTACTCATCCTCTAACCCTAGGTTAAGCCTCAGGCAGTGAGCACCAGGCTCTAGATTCCTTTTGACATTTGAAAATAAAGCTCCTTGCCTAGTAAACAAACTACTTGTTTATGTTTATTTTCCTTTGTGCTTGAGAATTTCATACATGTATATAAATGAAGTATATATCTATTCTTCTTAGCCCCTCCCAACTCCCCTCATATTTCAATTTCTTTTCTTCCTTCCTTTCCTTCTTCTTCTTTTTTTTTTTTTAAATAACTGGAGTTAGTGCTGCCTATATGTGTGGTTTCAGGCCATCCACTGGGGCATGGGAATCCTATCAACAATGGTATCCTTACAAAAGAATGATTCTCCCTCCTCAGACTATCAACCGCCAGCAGCTCCTCAGTGAAGGGTGTGGCCTGGAGATCATCTACTCCATCTGTGCCACAGTGCTGACTGGCTTGGTTTTGTGTGTGCCTTGTACACATAATCCCAGCAGCTGTGGGTGCGGGAGTGTGGCGGCCATGCCGTGTCTGGAGGACAGCACTTCACAGCACCCTTCCCCAGCTTGCAGCTCTCACACCCTTCCTGACTCCCCTTCTCTGACATTCCCTTAGCCTTGGTTGGAGAGAGGGAGTTGATATCCATGTCCAGTGTAAGGCTCTTATTCTCAACACTTGGGCAGTTCTGCATCTCTCCATTGACTGTGGCCCCTGCACAGAAGAGCCCAGGTGTGTAGGTGTGAGCATAAGCATTTGGAGGCCCTTTGACAGCATGGCCATTTACAACAGTAGAACAGTAGGTTCTACTTTACAGACTCTGACCTCAGTAGCCTTGGCCTCTGATCAGGCTTACAGCGTCAGCCATGCAGTTCCCCTCTGTGGAGCAGGCTTTGAGTCTAATGAGAAAGGGGTACCCTGTGACAGCCCTGCCACTGCTGCACCAGTGGCACAGGTTACCTGGCAGGTGAGTGTTGCTGCATGCAAAGTCTAGGGCTGGGTGTGACTCTTAATGTCTGTCTTCCTTCAGCAACCTGCAGAGCACTTTCTAGCAGGATATAATTTATTTTGAGACAAGGACTCATGTAGCTCAGGCTGACTTAAACTTGCTTTAGAACTGAGTATCACCTTGAACGCTTGGCCTCCTGCCCTCATGGCTTTATTTTAGTTTCTTGTTTTAGGTCTGTCTTTTTTACAAGACTGCATATAATCTATGATGTCAGAGACTTTCCTCATGGCTGTGCCCTAACACCTTCCTTGGTGCTTGATATAGAACACATATCAACACTGTTTAAGTGATTTAATTAACACAGCCATGATCCCTTTAACTAGATGTACAATCATATGGAATCCAGCTTTCTAATGAATAGCATGAATATGAGTAAACATCTCCACTAGAAAAATTCAGTGACCATGACATTCAGTGTCCTTGACATGGCAGCAGCTGGGGCTTGTGTGATGTAATATAACCAGAAAACAAACCTTCATCTATACCAGCCAGTTCTTAAACTAGTCTTATTCCATGCTATTACCTATTACTTCTCTGTCATGCATTTTCTTCTGTGTTCTGTTTTTCTTACCTCTGAGTTCTAACTCAGCAGTAGAGCTCTAATCTAACATGAGATTCTTGGTTCAATCAGTGGCCCTTTAAAAAAATAAATAAATGGGTGTGGGGGGGTTTACATCTCCTCTTGTGAGGGCGCATTCCTGCCCTTGTGACTTAGTGTGCTCTTCCCTGTATGATGCCTGTATTAACAAGGATCCATCCAGCTAAGTCGTTTTAAATGAGTCTATTTTCTTCTCAGTGTGATACATGAAGATTGGAAACGTAACGTTTTCTAACTGAAGGAATGTTTTTGTAAAATGCCTGACCTTTCTAGAACATTTACAGAGTCTATGCAATAGGAGACATAGCGCTGAAAACTTGCATTACTTACTTTTGTGATTATTTGATACAAATGAACATTCTCTATACAATTCTTTTTCAGAATATCCAAGAAATGAATGTTTTTGGAAAATCAGAATTAGAGAAGACTATTGAACATTTGACATATATGAATCACCAGGTAATTTATCAAAGGATTTGGGGAATATTGTATTAGATGGATGGCTGGGCCAGCGATGCTTGTAGTGTCCTGTATGTCTTTGTAAACTGTGATACACAGCAAGGGAGAGTATGTGCTCTGAGACTTGTTACTTGGTTCAAATCTGGCTTCCTATCTAGACCAGTTTCTTGATTTCTGTCTTCTGGTGTTTTTCATTTATGTCTTAGGACTAGCACTTCTGTTTCTTGGGGTTTCTGTGAAAGTGTAATGGATGAGCAACACGCGTGTCACGCTTAGAGTACTGGAATATTGCAGGCATCTGTAGTGGCTAGCTGTGATTATTGTGGTTTGGTCTTATAAACCCCAATAATCAGACTAAAAAGTGAAGCTCACTGTTAATTTTCTTTATAATTAGCCCTCAGTATCTGCAGGAGATTGCTTCCAGGACATCCTCGGATACCCAAATCTGAAGATTCTCAAGTTTGTTGTATAAAACGGCTTAATACTGCATATAATCTATACATTCTCCCATATCTTTAAATCACATTTATATTTCTTATAGAGCTTAACTATCTAATGCCTTATACAATGTAAATGTTGTATAAATAATTGTAATGCTGTGTCGTTTAGGAAATAATGGTGGGGAAAATTGTATATGATCAGTACAGATGCAACCATTCTAGACTAACTAGATAGTTACAGTTGGCTACTCTGAAATTCCAGAATTCATATGGAAACAAAAAGCCAAAAGTAACATAGAAGTTTAAGTAACACTGATACTGGGTTTTTAGGGCCATTATAATTAAGATAAGGACTAATCTTTATTATCCTTATCTGACTAAATCAAATATAACAAACCTGCATAAAAGGAACCTAGCATGTACAGAAACCCAGATCAGTGAGTAAAGAGTGTGATTTAGTAGTTCTTACCTAACTGAGCGGCCACATATATTAAGAATAAGAAATTGGCTTCTGCCTCAAATAGACCACACCCAGCAATTGTTTTAAGATTATTTACAGCTAGCTACTTGAGGCTGAAACATGAGGTTCACAGTGTCTGCCTCCAGTTTGAGCAGTAGCCAGGCCTACTTGGACCATGGCTGCAGCACCCCCTGAGAAATACTTCCCAGGGTGTGAACAGGGAAGCACCCCTGTTCCTTCCTCAAAGCCTAGTCTCTCACAGGGGTTATATTTGTGAGCCAGAGATGAACATGGACCAGCCGAGCTCTCATGGTTTCTTAGATCGTTACAAAGGCTGTAGCTGATTGTTGGTATGGCTACTTTCTTCAACAGCCATCCCTTTGCTGGCCCCACTTTACTCTTATTTATTTTCTGGCCCAGGCTGTAGGTCTTTCAAATTCTCTGCTCTGGCATTTGCTGTTAACTTGGCTAACAGCTGCCAGACATAACCAAGTCACATGAGTACGCCACTGCCTAAAGTTTTCTCCTCCAGGTTAATTAGTATCTTGATATTTGTGACATCGTCACAAGTCTCAGGGATGCACAGAACTTACATTGTAACACACATGGCTTCTAGTTCTTTCCTCCTGAGTTCTTGTTCCCATCTGAAACTATGAGCCTGGCGCTTAGCTGTCTACATTCCTGTCAGCATTCTGGTCTTCTCCCCTCAGAGTTGCCTAACCGGCTCTGCATTATAACAGTCTTGGTTTATGGTAGCTCACTTCTCTAAACTCTTCCAAGTCCCTTTCGTAAGCTAGTTCCAAAGGCCTCTGAACTCCCTGCTTAGGGAGTCACAACAGCCCGCTTCTCTTTTGCCTGTTTTCTGTTTGTCAGCCTTTCCTTCCTGTGAGCAAGGCAATGTAAGGAAAGGTTTACCTGGGCTTCTGGTTTCAGAGGCTCAGCCCATGGCTGCTTCCATTGCTTGGCTCTGAAGCCAGTGGTGGTGGTCAGGGTCTGCTAGACTAGCACTGCCCACTGACAGCAGGGAGCATGGACCTCATCCTCAGGCCACACCTCAGCAGCCTCCCTACTTCTAAGAGACCCCTTTTCCTGAAGTGCCCACACCTCCCCCAAAAGTGCCACCAGCTGGGGACCAAGCCTTCAACGCCCGAGTTTGCAGTGAGCATTTCGTGTTTAAAGCACAGCAGGCGTGATAACAGCAGCTGCAGGCTTACAAGGCAGCAGCTCATTTCTAGATAGCTGCTCTGTAGGGAAGGTCAGCAAGCTGGTTCCTAGACTAGACGCACTAACTGCTTTGTCAATTGGGTTTTAGTGAAAATAGTGAGAGGGTCATTTGTGTGTTTCTGTATTGTCTGCACCTGCTACCGTGCTTCACTGGAGTGGCGGTGACAGACGGTGGTGATGGATGGTAGGCCCTATGAAGCCTGAAGTATTTATTTGAACAAGTTTGTGATTGTAAATCATACAGTGGAGTGCTGGTGAGCAGAAATAGGATGAAAGTTACTAACCTCAACATGTATGGCTGCTACCATGCGTGTTGTACCAACACAGTAAGTTGCTGAAAGCCTAGAGTATGATTCTATTCATGTAAAGCTCAGAAAAGAAGTGAAACTACGTGGTACATGGCTTAGGAAGGAATGCCAGTGAAGAAAAGCGGGTGCTCGCTGCTGTGGTTCATCCTGCAGATTGAGCCCTGTGGGAGGCTGAGGCAGGGGAATCATTTGAGCATCGGAGTTCAGAATAGTCTGTCGAACATAGCAAGATCCCATCTTTAAAACAAACAAACAAAAAACAAACAGAAAATAAGAAAGAAGATTCAGGATTGTGGTTTTGTATGGCAGGAAAAGAATATGACTAAGGCTGCCCGTGGAGGGTCAGATGTATTTTTTAAACCACATAAGAGATGTTCTTTTTGTTTTTATGATTTCTTCATATTCTACATGCTCTTATATGGGGAAATGGGTGTGTTTTCTTGTCCATTTATACACAAAGCCCGGTTTTAGTTACCGTAGCTTTATTGTTTATTTTAGTATCTCTTATGGTAAATTTATTTCTTTTCTTTCATTCCCAGTTTGTCCTTCTGGGTTTTATTTTTCTTCTAAAAGAATTTAAGCATAAAGTGTAAGGTACCATCTTTTAAAAGCAATTCAATTAGGAATTGCTTTTATTGGCATTTCATTGAATTTATAATTTGATGAAATTTTAACACATTTAAAGTATTATGTTCCTATCCAGAGAAGCGTGGCAGTCTACCCTAAGTCAGGTCTCTTTTTAGGCATTAAAGGGAAACTTGCACTTTGTTTCTCATATAAATCTCAGCCATTTTGTAGTTTCATTCTTTTCAACTCTCATTTTTGTGTAATTTCTGTCTACTTATTGCAGGTTTGGGGGTTACTTTTTGAGGGAGAGGTATCTCTTGGTTCCAAAAGCTAGAAATGAATTGTGGAGGGTTTTGAGGGTTTTGTGTGTGTTTTAGGAAGTTCCTCTGATTTTCATCCTGCTTATCGTCTCCCGTCCCGTGTCTTTTGTGCTGTGTGTTTCTGTTGTTGTAGTGATAGTGAGGAAAGAAAGGCAGAGGATGCACCGATCCTGACATCTCGGTCTTAAGAGTTCAGATGATGTTCAGTGTGTTAAAAGTGTAATATATTTTCATAATTGTCTTCCAGAAATATTATTAAAGTATAGCTATGAAAAATAAGATATTACCATATATATGCTTATTAATGTTTTAAATTTAAATTATAGCTTGAAAATGAGAAATATGAATTGCAATCTAAAATATTACTAATGAAAGAAACAGTAGAGTCATTAGAGACCAAATCAAAACTCCAAGCTCAAAAGCTTAGCCACGTGACTGGTGACTCATCTCATCAGAAAACAGAGATGAACTCTCTTAGGTAAGTCTGTTAAAGATTTCGTTACTTCTCCTCTGGGACATGCTTCTTCTGGTTATTCAAGGTTCATCACCATGGCGCTCAGCTCTTTCAGTGCCTTCAGTTCACTGCTTCCCCGAGTTGGCTTCATGGTACCGTCTTTCTGGAGCTTCTGAGAGGATAGAGGGAGGTCTGGGGTTGCCTGATTTACCTAAGTGAGTCTGGATAGATCTGGGTGTCTGTAGTTTTGAAACTTTCACAAGATGACATGATTGTCAGTTGTTGGTACCTTAGTAAATATTCAAGACACTGTGCTCTGCAGGGAAGGACTGCTGGCTCTTAGGCCTTTGGGCCATTTCCTCCTTTTTCTTTCCTCTTTTAAAATAATAGAAATTCAGATGTTTCATGTCCTTTTTTAAACCATTCTGATTTAGAAAAGGAAAATGTAGCCAGGGGCTAGGAGAGCTAACTCTGATAGCACAGAGAGTGTGGATTTGGAGTCTTAGAGATGGGTGATAAGCAACAGAGGTCACAGGTCAGGACTGAGACAGTGTGGACTTTGAAGGGAAAAGGCAAACTTAAGAGATGTTTCTTTTATAAAATCAAAGGTAATGGATATGGGAATAAACAGCAGTATAGTAATCCATAATGTATGCATTGGATTACTGGGTTGTTGGTTAGTCATTTGTCAGTTTCAAGCACATAAAACTTAAAGAAATAAAAGCTAATAGTGTCAGCCCCCCAATATAAAACTGTCATAAGCATAAGCAGACAAACAAACAAACAAACAAATAAAGCAAAAGGCAACTGGAGATTAATAGAAAGGCTCTGCTCTGAAGAGTCGGGGGGAATCTCTCCCTCTTAATTATATTTACCATAAAAATTAGGAAGAAATTCTCAAATGTCAACAGAATTTCTATCTCTGCAACCCAGTAATGAAGCAGTAGCTGCGATCAGAAGGGGAGTAGTGGTGCTGGTTTTAAAAGACTGATTAAAGACACCCCGGAAGGTTAGTGAGCATTACTGAGTTAGACATTGACTACTGTAGAAAACTGAGTTGGTGAAATAAAGAACAAATTCAAGAATTTCACCTATAGTTCAGAAAGACAAAAAGAGATGATGAAAATAAAGTAGACCCATATACAAAACTCGGAGTCCAACAGGAGAGTAGGAGAAAGCAGAAGTGCAGTGTGAAGAAAGAAAAGGGAAGCCAAGGTGGTTGACTGACCCACAGAAGACCAAGAACAGACCTACCGACTTCCCTAGCTTTTCTCCTGTGATGCTTTTCTGCCGCCTTTATCAGGGGGGCTTTAGGGGAAGCTAAAGGAGTTAGCTTTATCCTCCTCCCAATCCTCTGTCTGCACGTGTCCTTTGGAGGAGAGCCGAGTGAGCCAGCCCCTCTTCTGGCCATGTCTTCAGCCCTAAAGTACAGACAGATATGGCGCTGGATTTTTGTCTGCAGAATTGCTAATCTATCCTATTTGCTTTTGTGTCCAGCTTACTGGCCCTGGCATTTTCCCTTTCCTTCAGACCATAACCACCTCTTTTCCTCACAGAAGACTTTAGAAACAGAGCCACTGTTGTCCTCTTTTGGGTGCCCTGGTCTGGTCATTAGCTCCTTTGCAGTTTTTGTTCTGATACTAATGTCATTTTCTCTTATAAGTTCAGTCTGCTTCTGCCTTTACCTAAGTACATTCTGTCACTGCGCAGGAAGAGAGGGCTATGAGAACTGTTCTCTCTGCCTTGCATAACCTGGCATAGTACATGACTTTAGAACCCTGCTTTACATCAGCCAAAATCTCCTCTCCTCCACCCCCCCCCCCCCACACACACACAGAGAGAGAGAGAGAGAGAGAGAGAGAGAGAGAGAGAGAGAGAGGGGGACTACCTCTAAGAACAGTGTGTCATTCATCTTCTATTGGTAAACATTGGTAAAAACTTGAGTTTGAGCTATCAGTTCTAAATTTAGCACTAAACCCAATACAAGCCACAACAAAACCTTTACGGAAGCGGAAGTACATTGTGCAAACCTCGTGCCGTTTTCAGTGTAGTTTGTAGATCATCACGTGATGACCCATACAAGAAGCTGACTGTTAGGTAGATGAGGTATATGCTGCTTTCTACCTCATGGGCCATCTTCTTTTTCCCTTCCTGTGTTAGGAATGTTTTCATCAAATTCCCATGCTTCCATACAGACCGCCTGGAGCAGGCACAGCTCTCACTGTAGAAATGGAGGGTCTTTGGTATAGCATCGGGAGACAGTACTAAAGCAGCAGTTTTGAACATGTTGATGACTGCTGTCTCTCTTGAACTGCAGTATTTAATGTGGTCTAGCAGTTTACAACCTAACCTTAACCTCCATAGTATAGAAAGGAAATGTCTGTGTGCCAGCATGAGCAAGCTTACTGCCGGTACTCAGTATCTGAGACTGTGTGGGTCATGCAGTTTCTGTCACACCCTTAAAAACCAGCCTCTGAAATACAGTCACTGTGGGCCATGTGCAAGTGAATGAGTATGGCTCTGTTCCAATACAGTTTTCTTTTGATTTCATTTAATTTTCATGTCACAAAATGTTTTCCTGTGGAGTTTTTTCACTTCCTTAAGCGTTAAAAACAGCTAGGAAAGAATGAACACTAGGCCTTTTTTTGGTCAACCCTCACTCCAGGACAAGCTGTTTTCCATTCCTTTAGATGACTCACTCTTCTTAATCACTCCATAGCAGAGGCCTTAATCTTTGTATCTGCTGGCAAACAGTGACGCAGCTGGAAGCTGTCATATTGTTCTCAAGTCACTTTCATTCATTTTGTGGATTTTCACTGTTGCCCAGACTTGACCTCCAGTCATTGCTCCTCCAACTTAACATCCAGAATCCGTGCCCAAGTGGTCCTCCCACTTAACATCCAGAATCCGTGCTCAAGTGGTCCTCCCACTTAACATCCAGAATCCGTGCTCAGGTGGTCCTCCTACTTAACATCCAGAATCCATGCTCAGGTGGTCCTCCTACTTAACATCCAGAATCCATGCTCAGGTGGTCCTCCTACTTAACATCCAGAATCCATGCTCAGGTGGTCCTCCTACTTAACATCCAGAAACCTAGAACCATAGGCATTCAGCTCAGCCCTCTGCTACCTTAATCTTCAGCACATCAGTTAAAGCCAGGAGTGTCACATACTTATCTAGGATGGAAGCATGCTACAGCGGCGTTTCCTGGAAATAGCCCATGAACTCTAGGTGGATCTATGATTATGCCAATAGGTATCAGTTATTTTACTGGGATTTGTTTAGATATATTCAGAAATATGCAATATATTAAAATGTTAGAGACAGAAATATTGGATCTATTCAGATATAACAGCTAGTTTCCCTTGAGAAATATTTGCTAAGGAATTAGGAATCGCCTTGGATGAGGGAAAGAAGATTCATGGATGGTGCAGGATGCCTGACCTGTCTTTGGGACATCCCCACTGTATTTTCTTAGCAATGAAAACAAGAGTGTTGCTGCTGAATGACAGCAGCTAATTGTGGAGCTAATGCCAAAATTGTCCCATCCCTCTTCTTTTCCTGGTGTACCACGTGGTGCTATTCACAGCCTTCCTAATGGGCCGGCACCTTGGGCACATAGGAGAGCCTCCAAGAAAGCTCACCAATAGTTTCCTGTAATAGGCCATTGAATTTCCAAACCTATCTCTCTGAGGTAGAACTTCATTTTACAATTTGAAACATTTATTGTGGATGAAGGAACACTTAAGAAATGTTTTAGATATACTCTGTCATGAAAGGAAATAATTAAAACTGTCCCATAAACTGAGAGTGCATAATTGGTACAATGTAACTATGGAATTTGAGGCTGGGAGGAGATCGGAGCCAGGCACAGGCCTATTAGATGGACAGCCAGAATTCAATTTTCTGGCTTTTTTTTTCTGTTGAGAAATTATTTCTTTCCTTTGTTTATGTAACTTTTAAAGCTAAGAAACTTGTTCATTTCTACTGACAACTTGGTTTGCAAAGTTTCTTTTCAAACTTACAGTGAGTTAAATGGCAGTCCTCTCAGTTTCCATTGGAAGACTCTGGGCAGTACTTCTGTGAGACTGTTTGTGTTCTCCCTTCTTCTCTGAAATAGAAGAACCAGTTCCTTTTCTGGTCTCACCTACAGGTTTCCTTTATATCAGTCACTAGGTTATTCCAGCGCCCTTTACCAGCTCCAGTCCCATGAGCAAATAACCCCATTTCTGCTCAGAGTTGTAAGCACTGCTGCTCGTTGGCTCTTCAGCAAGGCTCTGTGGGCCATTCTATTTTCCTGCCCACTTAGAGGGTATTGGTCTCTGTGCATTCTGAGCAGAAAGCAATAGCCCAGCCTGCACCTTTGCCTTTGTCCTGGTAATTCTGTGACCCTGGATACGTAAATTGTTTCTGTAAGTGTGGAATAATAGTTCCAGTGGAACTCCTCCAGGAACCAATGGGCTCATGTGTACACAGTGCCTTCCGCTTATGCTGTTCCTACACATGATGACTCTAGGTTTTAGGAGTAGCCACATAGAAACTTTACTCAAGTAAAATTGCCTGAATCTGGTGACTTTCTTACTTGGTTTGGTTCAGTTGTCCAGTTCTAAAGAAGTCAGTCCAGCAAAAATACAGAATCCCTTCTTGATAAAGGTCTTGGAGAGAGGAGGGGTACAAGGAACATTCTTAAACATAATAAAACCAATATACAGCAAGCCAACAGCCAATATCAAACTAAATGGAGAGACACTCAAGGTGATCCTACTGAAATCAGGAGCAAGATAAAGTTATCTACTCTCTCCATATCTATCCAATATAGTTCTTGAGGTCCTAGCTAGAGCAATAAGACAACAAAAGGAGATCAAGGGGATACAAATCAGAAAAGAAGTCAAACTCTCACTATTTGCTGATGATATGATAGTTTACATAAGTGACACCAAAAATTCTACCAAGGAATGAATATCACTCATAAACACTTTCAGTAATGTAGCAGGATACAAGATTAACTTGAAAAATCAGTAGTCCTCCTTTACACAGATGATAAATGGGCCAAGAAAGAAATCAGAGAAACATCACCTTTCACAATAGCCACAAATAGCATAAAATACCTTGGAGTAACTCTAACCAAACAAATGGAAGACTTGTATGAAAAGAACTTTAAATCTTTGAAGAAAGAAATTGAGGAAGACACCAGAAAGTGGAAAGATCTCCCATACTCTTGGGTAGGCAGAATTAACATAGTAAAAATGGCAATCTTACTAAAAGCAATCTACAGATTCACTGCAATGCCCATCAAAATCCCAGCAAAATTCTTCACAGATCTTGAAAGAGCAGTACTGAACTTCATATGGAAAAGCAAAGATTTGTTTATTTCTATAGAGATGTCCCATTTTACTCATTGTCTTGGGAATCAGACCTCTTCCTCATTAGGCACCTCTAACTCAAGCTGTCATTAGCATCTTCTTCAGTGTCTTGTCCTCAAAGGAAACCCAAAAGGAAGCTATTCCCAGCAAACCACCCGAGGTGAGAATGGTCTGAGCTGTGTCAGTGCTTTCCCACTCAGAACTAGAAGCATTTGGAAGCCTGTGACTGAGAACCAAGACTTCTGTTATAGCTTCTGAATGCTCCTTCTGAAGGAACTGTTACTTCCAACTTGAGACACTTCACCAGGGACCTCCTCAGCTCCCACAACTCCTTCCCATGTTCCCTGAAACCAGCCTTTAGTCTTATCCCATTTTTTTCTGTAAAAAAAAAAAGAAAGAAAGAAAGAAAGAAAGAAAACACCTACCTTCTCAACCTACGTACAACCGTCTGCCCCTCAGAACCAAAAGAAGCAAAATTGCAAGCTTTCATGGTCAGGATATTGAAGACCTATGGAGAGTCTGGAGTATCCAGCCATGCTATAAAGACAGGACTTTCTCTTTGCCTCCACTATTGGAAATACATTTTGAGGAAAAGGGGGTTGATGTTAGGAAACTAAGGAGAACATTAAAATGGCTGAGAATTTTCTAGAAAATATATAATTAATTTCATTTTTATACCATATTATTTTTAGGAAGATGGAACCATTTTGGAGAAGAATGGTGGACAGCAAGAATAATATTGTATAATAGAATGCCATTGATATACTGGAAGAACTTTATAATAAGAAATAAAAGAAACTTAAATAAATCAAAGTATTTTAAGACCATTCACATAACAAAGCTATTTATGTGAGAGATAAAGAATGCCGTTTGTTTTGTCCACCAATTTAGGATGGTAAATGAACAGCTGCAGCGATCACTTGATGACTGTCAGCACCGACTTTCCGTAAAAAGAGGTGAACTTGAATCAGCCCAAGAACAAGTTAAAGTTCTGGAGGAAAAACTAGGTGAGCCTTCTGAAATTTTGCTTTTGCTAACCTTAATTGCCTCCATCTAACAAACATTCCTCTCTCTGTGTAGAGAAACTAAACTGTAAGATGACATCACAGAGCGAAGAAGCTCACGCCTTGAAGAAAACCATTGGCATGATTGACAAAGAGAAGGACTTTCTCCAGGAGACTGTCGATGAGAAGACAGAGAAGATCGCCAGCCTGCAAGAGAGCCTCACCAGCAAAGTATGTATCTGCTGCATGTTCCCTGGCGTCTCAGCGGGAGCCCACGGGTAATTCCTGAGACCTATGCTGTCTTTGACAAGTCTAAATTTCCTTCTAGCCTAGTAATAGGCATCTTTAAGATAGGATTTATCAATTTTGAGAATGTGATTTTTATCTTACACTTTGAAGAAACCACTGCAGTTTGTAGATGGGTAGAAACATACCAAGATGTGACATACACATGGATATAGAACTATTTTTACTTAGAGCTTGCTTTTATGTATGGTTTATATAATTGGACTGTATATTTAGCTACTTATGATCTAAATGTAGTAGATTATGCAAATTTAGCTAAGAATGATTCTGTGTGAATGATTTAGAATCCATTATGTTTCTGTAATTTCTTCAGGAGAAAGCTATTGCCCAGGTGAAGGTCACAGTCGCAGAGTATGAAGCGTCTTTGAAGTAAGTAATCAAAGAAGGGCTGTCCGTGTTTGAGAAATTCTCAGTGAGTAAGGTCTGAGTTAGCAGTGGCGAGAGGAGACTGTCTCCTGTGAAGTTCCCGGATTTGCCACTGGCAGCCTTGCTTTCTCAGTCCCCGGCTCTGACTTGCCCTCTGCCTCTGTAGTATCTATTGCCTGTGCTTCTGTCTGCTTTGTGCTTTTGTCGTCCTCTGTGAAAGTCCTGCCCGTCTCATCGCGGATTGTGTTCATAGCCAGTTTTCCCATTCGTTCTTCAGTGAAACCTATCCTGAGCACTCTCAGAATTTTACATTTTGTGTCTGGTCTAAAGCCATCTAAAAACAAAAGTTACTAATTATATTTATTTTGCCTGCCTTTATGTCTTATATAATAATGGAAATATAAACATTATATTACAATATAATTTAATATAAAAATTAAATATTTAATGATGTTTTATATTTTGTTCCTAACAGTTGAAAATGTTATGTTTGCTTAACCTGTAGAATAAGAATATGTATTTTGAGGCTTATTTGCATCTATTTGATAGGAATCTAAAGTGCCTGAGTATTTTTAATGAGTATCAAAGGCAGCGGCTGTACTCTTGTGTGCTCACGCACTTACTGAGACTGTTCTAGTCTTATTTGAAGTAAGATAGAGTTGCCATGATGCTTTATTACTGCCACACCACGTTTTGACAGCCAGCTAAAGGACACCTTGGCTAATCGAGACCGAGAGATAAACAGCCTCCGACGGCAGCTCGATGCCGCTCACACGGAGCTGGAGGACGTCGGGAAGTCTAGAGAGATCTCTTTTAAGGAGAACAGAAGGTTACAAGATGACCTGGCCACGATGGCAAGGGAAAACCAGGTATGACACACCAGGCAGAGGTTTTCCGTGGAACTTAATATTAGCTAAGTATTAAACTTCTAAATATTTTCTCCTAAAATGCAGTGGTATTGAATGGAAGCCATGTAAGTCCTTGAGGGGACAGTGGCTGTCTGCGTGGTAGTTAGCAAGTTCAATTTTTTTAATGTGTCCCCAAACCTAGTAGCATTTGGTTTTTGTTTCTGAGTAGCATGACCTTCTCTGTGATGAAAGATATTGTCATAGCATTGGGTGGGGACAGCAGCATCACTCTTAGGACAACTTCTCTCTTTTTACAACGGGCCCGTGACAGGTTTTCATTTGCACTTAACTTCTGTTGTCTTAGAGCTATGTCTGTAAGTAAATGAAAGGATATTTTTAATGGCAGATATTGTAAGGTAGTAGTTTTTTTATATTGGTTTATTACAGCATTATACTCTGAAGACCAATGGTTTCTTTTTTTTTAAAGATTTATTTATTATGTATACAATATTCTACCTGCATATGTTCCTACAGGCCAAACAGGGTATCGTATCTCATTACAGATGGTTGTGAGCCCCCATGTGAGCACTAGAAATTGAACTCAGGACCTCTGGAAGGGCAGCCAATACTTGTAATCCCTGAGCTCTCTCTCCAGCCTCCCCCCCCCCACCGTGGTTTCTTTTAGAAAATTACTTTTAGTATTATTCAATATCAATCATATTGTAAAAACTTTCTAATGTCAACTACTGACCATAACTGGCCATGATGTAAAATCAAATTCAAGGTCAGGACTGTGATGGTAGTTTTGTGGAAACGTTTACTGAAAAATCCCAGTCAGGGATGGGGAGAAGACTTAGTGACTAGGAATGCTGGCTGTGAAATGAAGGAAGGGGTTTAGAGTTCAAATCCCCTGTTCTCACATAAAAGCCTGGCATGGCTGCCTGTCACCCAGAGTTTGAGGTCATAGACATCAGCTCTCAGGAGCTTGTTGGCCAGTCAGCCTCGCTGAAATGGGGAACTTCACTTTCAGTGAAGGGCCTGCTCGGGAGGATATGGGGAGAGTGGTGAAGCAGGGCGCCTGGCATCCTCCTTTGCTCTCCACCTGTGCACATGAGTTTTTTACTTGTACACCAGTGCACACTACACACACACACACACACACACACACACACGCGCGCGCACGCGCGCACGCGCGCCAAGGTCAGTCACAGAAATACATGAAAATAACACAGTAGACGTTTTCCCCTTGTTTCTTCAACTCCAAAGGATGTGTTTGATGTGACTAGAGCTAACACTGGCTCTTTCTGCTTGGCCGACTCACAGGAAATCTCAATAGAATTAGAAACAGCAGTGCAAGAGAAGGAAGAGATGAAGAGCAGAGTTCACAAGTACATCACGGAGGTGTCACGGTGGGAGAGCCTCATGGCTGCCAAGGTGAATAACAGTGTTTGGCTTGCATTTAAGACTGACTTTCTAAGAGCTCTCTTTGCCTTTAATTCTGCCTCCAGTATTATGTATTAGACATTTGAGAGTAGAGGTCTTTCCTACTAACCTTATATTTCCCCATGGATCTTAGTATAGTGCCTGTACACATACTGATGTTTCCTAATTTCAAGCAGTCCTGTGCATGTGTGTGTGTCTGTGTCTATGTCTGTGATACAGATATCACATTGACAGTACTGACTTAGAAATAACGTATTGTTCTTAAACTAGGAAAATGAAAACAAAGACTTGCTAGACAGATTCCAGATGCTTCACAACCGTGCTGAGGACTGGGAGATCAAAGCCCAGCAAGCTGAAGGGGAGAGTAGCTCAGTCCGCCTGGAGCTGCTGTCCATTGACACAGAAAGAAGACACCTGCGAGAGCGAGTGGAGCTCCTAGAAAAGGAAATTCAGGAGGTGAGGTGCTGCCGTCTAGTGGAGAAACCACTCAGTGAGTGACAGTCCAGGAGGTGAGGTGCCGCTGCCTAGTGACGAAACCACTCAGTCGGTGACACACTCAGAGACACTGCACCAGTGAGGCTGTGGTCACTGCTGACTTCCAGCTCAGAGCTAACCCTCTGCTACTGATGCTCCTACCTTGCTTGGGTGCCCGTTCCCTTTGTCATTATAGTAAAGACCTGGCTGTCTTAGGTAGGGTTTCTACTGCTGTGAAGAGACACCATGAGTACGGCAACTCTTACATAAAAAAGCATTTAGTTGAGGCTCTCTTACAGTTTCGGAGGCTTTGTCCATTATCATCATGGTGGAGCATGGCAACATGCGGGCAGACATGGTGCTGGAGAAGGAGCTGGGAGTTCTACATCTTGATCCATAGGCAACAGACAGTGAACTTTGTCTCTGGGTGTAGCTTGAGCATAGGACACCTCAAAGCCCACCCCCACAGTGACACACCTCCTAATAGTGTCACTCCCTATGAGCGTATGGGTACCAATTACATTCAGACTACCACAGTGGGCGACATGAGATTTGCCTTTTATCTCCTCTCAAGTGTGAGATCCTACGGCATTAGTGTATTTGTAACACTGCGCTAATCTCCACCCTGTTGTGTGACTACTTCCATCCTCCCAGGCTCACTTCATCTCGGAACTTATCTATCTTGAATCATGTTTTGTCCTTTTCTGAAGCTGAATAATAGGCATTAAAATGTGGCTTAGCCATTTACCTTTTGGTGAAGTTTTTTCCACATTTTGGATCCTGACAGCCATGTCACTGTTGACATGGTGTGCTAGTTACTGACTTGGTTGCTATGATAAAATGACTAGCTAAGGGCTAGAGAGATGGTTCAGGAGGTAGAGCAATATCCCTGGCCCAGCATTTAGTCATATATAAGCTTTCATTATAATGACAGTTGACTAAAAATTTTATTAATACAGTTTGGAAGTCAGTTAAATTAATAAGAAATCTTAGTTTGATGTAAATATATTGCCCATTTTTTCTTGGTATAATTTTCTAATTTTCATCTTTCAGAAGAAAGTAACAATCTGTAGTGCACAGTTAGAACCTCCAAAATATATATGTGTTTAGTCCTAAACCTTAGCCTCTTATTTTGTAGTAGTGTCTTTTTATATATAACCAAGTAAATGAGGCCAAGTCTAAGACCCTTACAAAACAATGGCTTTTTAGACAAAGACTTGGGGACGACCACCATGCACAGACCAGGGCGGGATTGTTGCTGGGTCACAGCTGGTAACTTCCAGAACCAAGGACGCAGGCGTGGGATGATTTTGTTTCAGAATCTCTGGATTTACTGTCATTTGACATTTGCATTTCTAGCCCCTGGAACTATGAGAAGGACATTTCTAGGATTGCAGCTAAAGTCACTAAAGTTGAGGCTGCAGCCCCAGGACACTCATAGATTTGGGATCAAGAAGAGAGTTGCTGCGGTAACAGACATTGGAAATATGGAAGTCTTAGAATCGGGTAATTGGGTAACAGAAACTGGGTAGGCTTTGAGAGTGTGCTGAGAAAAGCCTAGATTGTCTTGAAGAGATAATTTTTAGAAGTTTTGATACTATGGGCTTCATAAAGAAGAGAAAATTGACTTGGGGACTAGTTCGGTTTGTAGAATGCCTGCCTAGCATGCATGAAGCCCTGACTATGAGTCCCACATACATGTAAGGTAGGTATGTTGGCTCATGCCTACTCTTCCAGCACTTGGAAGAAGTTCAAGATCATCATTAATTTAGTTGATTCTAGGCCAATTGAACTACAAGAGACACTGTCTCTAAATAAATAAACTTTAAAAAGAGAAGATAAATATTCTTTAGGTGCAGAATACATGTATTATTATATATGGAATATTTCTTCTAGCAAGGTCTCAAATAGAATTGAAGAACATATTACTGGACAGTGGAAAAAGGGTGACCTTGTTATGAAGAACATGGCAGAATTATGTATAGTGTTGGGAATACAATAGAACATGAAAGAGATGAACTTTGACATTTAACTGAGATGCCCACACAGTGTGGGAAGGAGGCCTCATTATGAGGGAGGGTACAGAAGGAACCAGAAGGGAACCAGAACTTTATGGCCTTCAGAAGTATTTCAGCATATCCATCCACATAGTATCCTGTAGGCAGCCTGGCAGTGTGACTAGATAACTCAGGATGGCAGCCACGGATCCAGCCAGCCATCTCAGCAGAGACTGCCAGCTCTGATCAGAAGAGACAGACATGAAGCGAAGGGAAGAAAAGCTGTTGGGCCTCTGGCATCTTCCTAGGTGAAGATGGGACACTGGCTTCTTGTCTTCTGGTGGCTGGTCTCCTTTCAGAGAGGGAGAATGACTCTAGGAGTGGCCCAGAAGCCACATGGGACCTAGGACTGCAGCTACAGGAAGTGCCAGTGTCCCTAAGGATTAAGGAAGACCATGCTGGGAGGCCCAGGGGACAGTCATTAAGACTTGAAATCTAAATTTAAATTTAAACCCTAGTTTTAAAACTTTAAATTTAAAAGAATGATTTGGAATCATATATTAATATATTTATTTAAAATATACTACTATTTGATAAGAAAATGCTATTATAACAAGGGATATTTATGAAGAAAATCTTTAAAACAGCCATTCATATTATTTTAGCATAATTTTCATCTTTATATCTTAATGTATACATGAGTTATTTAGTTATTATGATTAATAATTATATGCTCTTCCTTTTGTGCATTAACTAGGCTTTCTTAAAATAGCACTTTTCTTCCTGAGAATGTTTTAGCATATGTAAGAATTAGCACTTGCTTTTCTGAAGGAAGTTTGCGGCTACACAGGTTCCTGAAGCCGTCTTTGCAGGCTTGCACTTCAGGTGACTGGATTACGTTACTTTTATGTTTTGCTTTCTTTCCTCAGCACATCAATGCGCACCACGCTTACGAGTCTCAGATCTCATCAATGGCAAAAGCCATGTCTCGGTTAGAAGAAGAGCTGCGGCTTCTGGAGAATGAAAAGGCAACAGTGCTAACTGACCTGTCGTGTCTCCGGGAACTTTGCATTAAGCTGGATTCTGGCAAGGACCTCATGACCCAGCAGCTGAATTCCAAAAGCCTTGAGCTGGAGAGGGTAGGTGCTGAGAGAGGTTGTTGGGCGCCTTGCTTTGTGGAGCCCTTCAGGCACGGTTTTTCTTTACGTTCCTTTTTCATGAGTTGTTCTCTGTTAGTTCATTTTGACAGCAAGGTTTCGATAACTGGATTTGGCAACGGATTCTCTGCCAAGATTGTCTGCCAAGCATAAGGATAAGGGTGTAGTTCAGTGGTGGAGTCCTTGCCTTCGTGTGATGCTCTGGGTTTTGTCCCAGTGCTAAAAGGATAAAATTGGGTTTGCAATAGATGGTCCTTAAGAGATTTAGGCATTTTCTAACTGTAGAGCAGGAACAAATATTCTTTTCCTGTTTAGAAGTAAAATTTGATTGAAAGATTAAACAGTTCATGTTTTCGAAGTAGAATTCTTATTGATAAAAAATCTCAAGGTATTTAAATTATTAATTAACTAAATCCTGGACTTCCCCACCCCCAAGTTGAGGCATAACTTTGAACAAGCTGGTGTGTAATCTCATAGAAGTATATCTTTAGGGTTCACTTGCCAGGCCAAATACTGAGAAATTACAATATTGGCTTGATTGTGTAGTCAAAGAGCAAGCATACTGCATAGACTGGAGAAGCTCAAGGGTGGTGATCATGGAGGATGAAGTATGCCTTAAAGCCAAATAAGCCAAGCCCTTCATAAAAGTAGCAAGGGTAACTTTAAAATTGTTATGCTTTTCTTATGTTTAAAGAAATGTTTTGAAGTCTTCAACCAGTACTCAAAAATGAAACAATTGCTGACAATCACTATTATATTGAAAGATAAATAATTTTCAGACTAAGTCTAAATTTTTACTAAATTTATCTTTGTTTTTCCTGTAGTCAGTAGCAGAATTAGAAAATGTAAAATCCGAATCAGAACTGCTGAAAAAACAGCTGACAAGTGAGAGACAGACGATTAAAAATCTAGAGTCATTGTTAGCTACAAACAGAGACAAGGAATTCCATTCCCATTTAACCTCGCATGAGAAGGACACAGAAATCCAGCTGCTGAAGGAGAAGCTAAACCTCTCAGAGAGCAAACTGTAAGTGTCCTGGTGAAGGATTAATCTAATTAATGTCACCAATGAAAGTCAGGAGTCAGATATCAGGGTGAAAATCTGGAAGATCAGAGAAACAGGGGAGCAGTCACCGTCTCTTCCTCCCTCCCCAGTACCTCTCTCTGTCCAAAAGATCCTCTCTTAGGCCCGCCTTGCCACTTCCGGTCTCCTCCTTCTACAGTCGTCCAAACCTTTATGGTCAGGTAGTGACTAGCTCTGCCCTCTGGCTCCAAGCAAGCTTTATTTGTCAGAACACAAGACATCACACAGCATCCTGGAGCAACCAGTGTGGGGAAGTGTTGACCACAAGTGACTTTTCACCTCTTGTACAGCAAGGGCACTGTGGGAAGGTGATACAAAATCTCTGTAGCTGACTCTCTTATCTGACATTTCCGGACTTCCAGAGGACTAGCTCAGGAGCCGGGCTGGAAATGTGTACGTCTTGGCCCAGGTGGTGCCATGGGGGGTGGTGAGCTTCAGGGAAGAACCCGAGTTTGATGAGTGAGCGAAGGCATCAGTGGGGGAAAGCTGGTCATGGCGGCTGTGCTGTCGATGGGAAAGGCTTGGTCTGGTCTTCAGGAGTGTGCTCGTCTCCCTTGGGGAGGCCTAGGAGAGAAAAGCCTGGGCAGAGAGCACGGAGAAGAATGGGCTTTTTTCAGGGACTTGGGGAGTTGAAAACAGTGTTCTTCCTGAGGCAAGAGGCAAGGAAGAGCCACAGGCAGTACTTCACATCCTGCTTCTAGTTCCGTGTCTGCTGCGTGTGCAGCGCGTGCTATCAGCTCTGTAGCTGGCAGTAAACCTACAGCGTGCAGAAGAAGCCCCGAATCACAGAGGGCCATGTTGGAAAGCCAGGGTCCTTGTCTGTTCTTAGCATCACCTCCATTTGTGTTTGCACTTGATTCTACATGATGTCATTCATTTCTCATTGCTGAGCTGTTTGCATTTGTCTTTAAGAACTAGCCAGAGCCGAGAAACCGCTATGCTTCGAGCCAAAGTGACACAGTTGCAGGCCGATTATGATACTCTGAAAAGGCAGATTTCAAATGAGAGATATGAACGGTAAGACGTTTCTTTTTGACATTAAACAGTATTCCTGCATATCTTCTAGCCTATTGAAAGAGTATTTAATGTGACTTGCAAATAGCAAGTTTCTTTAGTATTAATAAGTAAAATAAATTTCTTAGTTAATTCTCTCATAGAGTAAAAGATTCTGTAAGAGACAGAATCCCTGCAGTATGGAAAAGAGCGCTTCTTGGAGCATTCTGCAGGGTGACAGTCAAGTCCAGATGGTGACATAGCCAAGGTCCCTGCAAGAGGCCCCCAGATACAGTGCATTGGGAAGCTTTGAATGCATATTATCATGAGATGATGATGATCGTGTCATAAGTGTAGCTAGCAGTTATGAGCTGGTACTCAACATGTGTCTGATTATCCCTGTATCTGCCTACATGATCACACTTGTATATGGCAGAGCCATGGTTTAAACACAAACGTATCTGTTCAGCCCAAAGCCCTTAACCTCTGTAATATATTCCCTGCTCCCTAATTATTTTCATGCTCGTAGTTCAGTTCATTTACTTCATGTTAAAACATTGAGTCCCTAAATATTGCAGAGATGAGACCTGCTTTAGCAGGTAAACCACGCCAGATGTAGTGGCTTGCATCTGTGTCCCAGCATTCAGGAGGCTGAGGCAGCGGGATCATGAGCTTAAGGGCCACCCTGGGAGACCAGTGTCCAAAAAGAAATGAATTATAATCAAAGTCTAATTTGCAAGTCAACAGCCAAGTTATATTTTTCTGTTGCTCTTTCTTAGACACCCGAGATTTGTTCTCAACTCGGCTAAAACTGCCTATTAGATCATTTAAAAATTTTTATCTTTCCCCATTTGCATCCAAACCTGAGTGATTGGTTGTATTGAGTCCACCGGGGATCCGCTGTGGTGTCAGTGGTTGTTGCTTTAGATAGAAGTGGGCTTGATTGCCGCAATGGTGTGGAAGCCATGGTGATTTGTTTGAACTTGGAAGACAGAGTACTAGACTGCATGTAATAAATAGTATCTCCTTCTTTAATGGTGGCTGCATTTTTCGGTAATCTGAGACCCTCAGTCATGCTCTCTATGGCTTCAGAGAAACCTTGGGCCTCAAAAACATGTCCTCCCTACTCTTCACTGTCAGATGAAGTGACACACTCTCATGGGCCCTGTCACCTCACCCTCAAGACAGAACCTGATTCTTGTGGGTGGAAAGAAACAGGAAAATAATCTCATTATTCCACTGCTTAATCCCTCAGAGGCCACAGTACACTAGCCAGGTCCTGTGTGTTCGTTTACATTTCTTGGAGTGAGGGAGAAATTGGAGAGGAGAAAGCCTTTTATAAGTTTCTTTGACAGGGTAATATTGAGGAAAGAAGGGGTTTGAGGAACTTCTCTAGGAAGGAAAGATGTACTGAGTAGCTCAAGAAAAGGCCCAGGCTGGAGACTGTGGAACCATAGAGTAGACGGTGGGCACTGGCAGACTGCAGATACCAGGAGTGTGTGTGTGACAAGGAAAGTTTGCTTTTTCACCTCAGACGTTTGGGAGACTTGAGCACAGAGAAGGCTAGAGTTTCATGCAAAGAGAGATAAGGAAGGAAGCGTCTAACATGGATGCACTGTCCTGAGCCTTCAGTGACTAGTTAGTGACATACAAGTGATACGTGATTGCTCCATACACAGACATTTAAATGCTTTAAGTTGATACATGCACACACACGAGAATGAATGTAAATAGCATGTGCCAGGCATGATGGTGTACACCTGTAATCCTTGGACTCAGTATGCTGAGGCAGGAGGATTGCAAGCCTGAGGTCAGCCTCCCCTACATAGCAGAAGCCTATCTTAAGAAGCCGATAAGAAATCTGTAAGGGCAGGGGTAGAATTTTATTGACTTATTTGGGGATGAATTCCCCCTCAGCTGGAATCAGTAAGGACTGTGTAACCAGGCCCTGGAGACCAGCACTGATGTGAGAAAAGGCAGAAGCAGAGCATCCGATACAGAGCTAAGACATGGCAGTGCGGGCAGAAGGGGAGCCAGGAAAGGACAGGGCGTGAAACTGAGGTGCTTAACTGTGCCAGATGCCACAAACGGCGTAAAGGCAAGGAAGCTGCCTGTCAGCAGAACACTTGAGAAATTGTAACATGAGGGGGCCATCTTGTTGGGGGTATCTGTTCCCGCCCAGTACCCCACAGACTGCGTATCCCAAAGAGAAAATCACACACAGGACTCCATAAGGTTATAAACTGATTGGCCCATTAGGTCAGGCTACTTATTAGCTCTTATAAGTTATCTTAACCCATTATTCTCATCTATGTTAGCCATAATGGCTCCGTACCTTTCTCAGTGAGACAGTTTACATGTTGCTTCTTTGGTGATCTGGACAGGAATGGCAGAGGGACCTTCCTCCTCCGTAGCCTTATTCTATTCTCATTGCCCTGCCTCTACTTCCTGTCTGGTTGACCCACCTATACTGCCTGCCTGGCCAATCAGCGTTTTATTAAAAGATGATTGACAGAATACAGACAATTCTCCCGCATCAAGAAATAAATTCTTAATTGTATTTTAAAACATAAAGAAAAAAGAAAGCTCTTCCAGAATCACTATTAATATCTTTAACATGTAGTTGTATATTGGTTTTTGTTTGCTTTGGTTTTGTTTTTTGAGACAACGTTTCTCTCCTTTGGCCTCTGCCTCCCGAGTGCTGGCATTACAGACATATGTCACCCTGGCCAGTTTATGTGGATTTGTATGTTTCTGAAAGTATACTTGATATCCTACTTTTTTAGTAGATATATTGTGATTGTTTTTAATATATTATTTTGTTGATGTCCTAATGTTATGACTTAGCTATAGCATAATTGTTTTGAACAATTTCTTCTAATGCATATATATTCTTTTAACTAAAATATTTTATGTATTCCTGAAAAAAATAAACTACAAATTGGGACTGGAGGGACAGTCCAGTCGTTAAGAGCCCTGGCTGCTTGCCCAGAGGACCCAGTCCTACATAGTGACTCGGCTATCTGTAACTAACCATTTTCTCGTTTCCACAGGCACCAGGCTTGTATGTTGTGATAGACATGCGTGTAGGCAAGCACCCATACATATGAATAAAAATCCTGCAGATTTGGTGAAAGTATATAAGGCTAAGCCAGGCATCCTATCCACTTGCAGTCCCAGCTTCTTTGAGGGACAAAGGTGGGAGAATCAATTGAGCCCCTGGGTCTAGGATAGCTTGGGTAACATAGTAGGGTTCCATTTCAAAGACAAAACAAACTAAACCAAAATGAAGCTGGTAGAAATGCTAATTACATTGGTAGGTGTTACTTAATTGACCAATAACCCCAAAAGCCACTTTTTGGTTTTGCGTGGTGCTTACATAGAATCTCTTCTGTGATCTTCACCAACAGAGAACGAGCAATCCAGGAGATGCGCCGGCATGGTCTTCCTACGTCACCTCTGAGTTCTACTCTGAAATCTCCTGTACAGTCTCCTGAACATATAAATGCATAGTTATCAAAAAGCTATGTATCAGATACCAAGGACAGGTAAAGCTAATCTGTAGTTGTAAAAATTTTGGAATTGTCATCCCTGTCAGAGAAAAGAGATGGCTTAGAGAGGGGAACTACCTGGAGCAATGGAAATGTTCTGTGCGTTGGTGGCACGTCAGCTGAGGATCTGATCCATGCATTTCACTGTGTGTCAGTTGTACCCAGCTGAAAAGGGAAGGGTTAGGAATGTGGCTCTATTAAGGAGCATTTGCCTTGCATGTAGGAACCTTGGGTTCATTAGCCCTGCAGAGGAGTTGTAGGTTTGGAATCAAAGCTACAGCAAAGTGCTAGGAAGTATGAGGTGACACAGGGTGGTATCAATTAAGTACCAAACTCAGTGTACAAATGACAGCTGGCTGAGGAAAGTGGGAAAGGCTTCGAGACAGCGGGTGAGGCACAGTACACTCCATTTGACAGGAATGGGGGGCTGTAGGAGGACAATGTGGGAGAAAGGTTTGAAAGGAAGGATGGGGCACACAAAGTCTGTGGAGGTGAGATTACATGCGGATGTAGGCTCCACTCTAACTCAGAAGGGCCCTGAGTCTGTCTTGACTGTAGGTGGATACAGAGGAGTTGAGTGAAGACTTTGTCTGTGGTGGTCCTGCCTCACCGCTGTGTCTGAGCCACACAGGAAGTGTAGGGACCAGACAGAGAAAGAGCAGTAAGAGTTTGAAACGGATCGCAGAATGAGTTCAGAAAACCGTGTTCCCAGTTCTTAGGAGGTGGAAGCAGGAAAGTCAAGAGTTCAAAGTCATCTTCAGCTACATAGTGAGTTTGAGGCTAACCTAGGCTACCTGAGACCCTGCCTCAAACAGACAAGAAAAGGCACTGTAGGTGGCTCACGGGGACAAAGGAAACATGTGCCCTCCCTTGATTCTAGCCTCAGGCTCTGCTCGGAAAGCAGCCATCTTCAGTGTTAAAGCCTAGATTCTTTTTCGTTTTTGGATTTTATCAGTGCCATTGTGCATTCCTGGACTCTTATTCTCGGTGGTGCATTGGTGAGATCCAGCCACTGATACGTGTGCTCTGGGCGGTTATTATCGCTGCACAGTGGAGTACCCTGATGTGCCCTTACACCGTTAGTTTACACTCGGCTTGATGGGCGTTGGGTAGCTGCTAAGAAGAACGCCCTGAGTATAAACTTAGGACTGAAATTGCTGAGGTCACTCATGTCCAAGCTTCCATGGATGTGAGGATCTGGTCCCAGGTAGCTGATGTTAGGATACCTTCGGCCGAGGCAGAGTTGAAGGGTTGGCACTAATTCCTTGGAGATAGCCTGAGTCAGACCCTGGCTTTGACAGATAACCACTGAAGAATGCAGACTCGCTGACAGAAATGGCTGAGTCAGTTTCTTTAAAGTGTGTATTTCTGTGCCTATCTTAGTAGAAGTGCTGTGTGTAGAAGATAGTAAGCGTTTCCTCAGAGGCTCAAAGCTCTCATACAAGCAGTGGTCACTCTGTGCTTTCCCATCCTGGGGCCAGTGTTAGGGTCCTGCTCTCAGGGTGCCTGATTGCTACTTTTTGCCTCAGTGTTTACATTCTTACAACATTGACTTTTCTCTTTCACCTTGAGTGGTTGCACCCTTACATCCAGCAAGGTGCTGGTTACTTCCAGGGTGCTTAGGTGCCTCAGAACAAGGTAACAAACACTTTCACACTTGACCCCGGTAGTTTAGCTCTGCAGGTGACCAAGTAGGATGTGGAGCCAGTAGCTCCTGCCTCTCTGCATAAAGTTAAACATTTCTGAGTGTCGTCCATCTTTACATATTGTCCAGGACGGCCGCTTATCTACACAAGCGAAGCTGGGTGGTTCTGATGCACCCCGCAGCCTGTGCATCTAAGACATCTACTTGCTGGCTTCTCTCATCGGGTAGCCTCTAAAAACCTCAGCTGAAACCCATGGGCGATGGGGGAAGTAAATTGACAAGTAATTCATTGGTTTTATTTTAAAAAGTCTTGACTTTGTAGATTCCCTAAAATATTCCTGGGGACTCAGGGATTCTTGGACTTAAGAGCCTCTGATCACAGGGCTGGGGACCCTCAGGGTGGGAGAGTGCTCACCAAGCATCAGCAAGGCCCTTGGTTTGATTCCCAGCCCCTAAAGTGAATGTGTATGTGCATGTGTGATGTGCGGCCTGTCTGTGAACATAGAAAGTCCCGAAGTCATGCTGCATGGCTCCCTCTGTTGCTGTGCACTCTGCTCTTCCTCACTGAACCTGGAGCTCACCATTTCAGTTAGATTGGGCTGGTCAGCGAGCCCCAAAATCCATCTTTCTTTTGCATTCCCCCAGCTCTGGGGTTGCTCAGGGTCTGGCTCGTGTGTGTGTGTGTGTGTGTGCTGGAGATCTGAACGCAGGCCCTCATCTTTCATAGCAAGCGCTTTACCTGCTGTTCCCTCTGCAGAGCGTGTTCCACGTGGCTCCACTGTTGGTACCCTCAGCCCTGCTCTAGGCTCTGGCTCTCCACACCCTCACCACACTCTTTCCATTTCCAGAGTTACGACCCTCCTGGCCTATGTGTGTTAGAAAATCTTTACAGAAAAAAAAAAAAAAGAAAATCTTTACAGCTGTTAACAGACACGACTTTTAATTTCGTAGTAATTGACAATTCTCAATGTTCCAATTTGTTTATTAGCCAGTAATCCATTTTTGTAGATGTTTCTGGGTGATGTCGCTAAAACTAATTTTAAAGGATTTCTCCAGTGAGTACTCAGAGACAAATTACACATGAAATCGTTTCTCGGATTAGTGTCTCTCTAGTAGTAAAAATATATAACCCAATTTTTGCTCTTATTTTCTTTTTATTAACACCACATGAGATAGGAAAGCCTGTTTTTCCTACTGCCCCACAGTCAACACAACCCTTCTGGCTATTAATTCTCCATCATACAGCATATAATTTCATTCCTTTCTTTAAACTGCTCTGTCTGAAGACAGCGCCGGATCCCATTGGTAAGGGTCAGCCAACAAGACTCCTCCCCACACCAGGTGCCAAGTACAACCCCAGGTGGATGTGCTTCTGACCTTCCTGCTGTTAAACCTAGGGTCCCACAGGTTTCCCTCCCAGGGTTGACGGAATTTTCCAGGGGCTCAGGTTACCCAGTTACTACAAAAGATACCAATGAATGACCAGACACAAAATGCAAGGAAGTTTACATGGCTTCCATTCCCTCCCCAAGTACAACTTCGAGCATCCAGCTCTCCAACCCTAGTACCCTTGACCTTTACAGAGACTTCAGTTCCTGGCATAGCACACTGACACATCACTAGCACTGGTGACTGGGCCCTTGGCCTTCCTCCTCTACCCAGCATCAGCATCCCAGAATCACCCTACTGCCCAGGTACCTCCCAAGAACCCTGTGCCTGGTGTGGGGGCGGGGCAGAGACCACTGTGTGTTTCTTCTTTAATCCCAGTGCCACACAGGCACCGAGGAACCGCATCAGCAACCCCCATGTCATGCTCTTCTCGCCTCTGTCTTCACGTAGACTGGTGCTCCCCAAATATGATGAGATTTGGGAGACAAGTGTTTATTAGAGACTGTAATTTGAAACACCATTGAATTAAGTTTTTCTTTAATATGTTAAGTAACTCTATCATTTTTCTCTTCATTCACTTTTCAGATAATGGTTTTCAGTGAGTTCCCAGGTGGATTTTTGTAAGAACACAAGAGTAATGAAATATTTGAAGTACTTGTTCCTGCGAATCATGAACAGTAACACAGATTCTACCTCTGTCAACCTTTATTTAAATCAGTGGATATTTATGTAAAAATGTTTAGTTTAGAAGAGCCCTACATATATATTTTCATATATGTGAAAAACAAAATATGTATTAATAATAGTGCTTAACTGATGTGATATGTGTATTTTTATTATTTACAACTAAAATTACTCCTTAAAATGTATTTATACTGTGAACTAATTTAATATACTCACATTATGCTTTAATAATCTGTTTCTTATTGAGCCATAATATATGCATGTAAATATTCCTCCCTTATTTGGATGTGCTTGGTTTTCATACCTGTGTGTATAGCCTGTAGCATGATCAGCTAAGAGAATGGTCCATTGGATGCTTTTCTCTTCAGTAGCATCAATCCACATTTGCTGTCTACCATCCAGGGGAATATATTTAAATATAGTCTCAATAGCACAACTCTCTTTTTTTAATAAGAGAAAGAGTTTATTTGAACTTACTGTTCCAGAGGAATAGAGTCCATCAGGGAAGTGTCAGGCAAAGCAGGAGGAGCAGGAAACAGTGATCTCGTCTTTACCACAGCACAAAGGAGAGAGTGAACAGTAAGTAGAGAGAAACTGTACTTGGGGCTGGAGAGATGGCTCAGTGGTTAAGAGCATTGCCTGCTCTTCCAAGGGTCCTGAGTTCAATTCCCGCAACCACATGGTGGCTCACAACCATCTGTAATGTTGTGGCTCACAACCATATGTAATGTGTGGCTCATTACCATCTGTAATGAGGTCTGGTGCCCTCTTCTGACCTGCAGACATACACACAGACAGAATATTGTATACATAATAAATAAATATATATATAAAAAGAGAGAAACTGTACTCTGAAAGCCCTTCTCCCGGAAACATGCTTGGCTCCGGTAAGTCTGTTCCTCCTAAACCTCCCAAAGTGTTCAGGTATCTCAGCCTATGGGGTACATTTCTCATTCAAACCATCATGTTTTGTAAAGCCAAAAATTTAACTGCTAACATTTCTCTTTTTCCTGAGATGTTTTTGTTATTTCTGAAGGTTCAGATCTACTGGAGATCAGTAAGTTCAGCTATTTCCTTGAAAATCATTTATATTACCATCAACTTTGAAGAACATTTCCCTGGATGTAGAATCCTAGTCTGTAGGACAATTTCCTTCATCGAGCCTTTTAAAGAGATAACTTTGTTATGTACCTAGTGACCTCACTAGCAGAACTCTTGATAAAGTTGTTATTGCCATGTGTAATTAATTATTCCAGTCTGGAAGAACTATGGTGGAAAAAATACATTTATCTGATAGACCTTATTATTTTGGCTCTTCACATGGTACAATATTTTATTAGAATTAAGTTAAAAGGTATTCAGAGTTTTGTTGAATAATGAAATGGAAATTTGAGGCATTTTTAACTAATTAAATTCCTCAACATACTAGTCTAAAATTTCAGAATATGAACGTATATAATGTAAATGTAGAAAAATATTTTTGTTATAAGTCCAATGTATATTTGATAATACCTATATGTGGCCTGTAGCCATGTGTAATGTAACGCAGTCTTTCCAAATAGTATGTAAACACCATTCCTATGGCATATAAACTGAAAACAGCTTCTTAGAAATTCACTTTCAATGTTGTCATTTTAAAGAATTTAGGTGTATGCAAACATTAAGGAAAGAGCAGAAGTCCAAAATAGAGTATAAGCTACAAATACTAATCATGTTCAACTGTTCACATACGATGAAAATTCTCTTTTCAAACTAGATTTCATTATGGCCAAGAAAGAATTTCAAAGTCAGCATAGACAGGTGAGAGATCAACCACGAACAACATGTATTGTTTCTTCTTGATTACTAAAGTGGGTTTGTGTTCATGTCTGTGGAGGCAGGGAGTGTTCTTGTGTAGCTAGTGCCTGGCAATTGTTCACTTCATATCTGAGCGTAGGACACCTTACTCTCCCACCATCTTTGGGGTTTATTCATTCTATCTCCTTTGACTAAATTCATGTTTTATAGCAAAATGCCAAAGGGCAGGGGCATTTGCAATGTCGGTGGAAAATCTTTTAGTGAATACACATAAAAAAATATTTGTCCCCACCCTTTTCCCCAAATCAGCAGCAAGACACTTCGTTAGTGTTCATTTCTAATGTTTTCTGTAATTATAAATGTGTCATTCTCATAATTGTTATTTTATAACCATCATGCTACAGGTTTTTAAAAAACGATTTTAATTTAAAGTACTGTGTTTTTTATAGATATTTATACTTTTGTTTTAAATAATTTTAAATTATGGAACTTGACTATAGATTTAGCAATAAACATGCCTATCAATTTGCCCTCTCTTTCTTTCCAATATGTTTTATAATTTTGTGTTAGTAATAGTCTTAATTCTGAAATTAAGTAGAATTTACTCAAATCAGGTTTCATCATGATGGGGCTTGGGAAAATCCTTCAACTTAGGGGCCAGCCACCTTTTAAAATAATCGTTTATTTCCAGTTAGTTCAAAATACAAGTTCCTATTAGGCACACTGAGCAAAATGCATTAAGGTGTGTTTGTAGTTACAAAGTCTCCTCACTGTAAATACTTTTTATGGGCAGTTGCCTTAGTCTGTGACATCTTCCCTCCTCATTGCAATTTATCACACACTCATGCCTTCTCCCATATTTAGAAGAGTCGACCCATGGCTGTCGCTCTGCCCCTGGCACTAGTTAGCATCAGTCATTTTATGTCAGGGTCTTTGTGGTCTGCACACGGTAGTTACCTGAAGGACTTCAAGGAAAACCTACACATGAACACACACTCTACACCAAATAATGAGAAATTCCACGAATGGGGCACAGTCTTGCGCTTGACCGGGTTTACAGGGCTAAGCATGGATGACCTCCTGTGGAGAGGGGCTGAAGTATAATCAGTGATTGGTCACCCCCATAACAGTCATGCTACTGTTGTATCTGTGGGCACATCGTGCCTGGTTGAGTAAGATCACTGATGACAATCCTCCCTCAACAGCCTGTGTAGACAGCACTTCCCACTGTAGCCCATAGAATTTCGGCGTGTTCTTTTCTCATTTTCATTCAGTTCTGGGAAGTTTTTCTTACCCTGTGACTTTGTGCAGGTAATTTCTCTTGCTGCTCACTTGTAGTGCTTATTCCATTGTGATCCACTATAATTTAAGGACTTACTTTAATTTCCTGTATCTATGAAGACTTGCCTTGTATCCTACTGTATGATCTATTTTAGAGAAAGGTCCATGGCTTGATCAACCTGTTCCTGAAGCCTCAGTTTCCTGGACTAGTCAGTGATAGGGATGGGGCCCAACCTGCTTTTGGAAGCAGCTTCCACTTCCCATCCTCCCGTCGGGAGCTGAGCAGCTGCAGCCTGTTCTTACTTTCCTGGTAAAAATATCCAGTGCTGAAAGGAGGTAGGAAGAAGCAGATGAATTCAGTGCAGAAGCTGGAGAGCAAAGTCTCCATATAATGTCAGAAGATGGTAAAACAGGAAGGGGGAGATTCAGCAGTGAAGACGATGTGGTGGTTTGGATGTAATTGGCCCCCATAAGCTCATAGGGAGTGGCACTATTCAGATGTAGTGCTTTATTGGAGTAGGTATGACCTTGTTTGAGGAAGTGTGTCACTGAGGGAGTGGACTTTGAGGTCTCCTTGCTCAAGCTCAGTGCGATACACAGGCCACTTCCTGTTGCCTTCTGATGAAGATGTACCAGCACCAGGTCTGCCTGCATGCCACATGCTTCGCACCATGATGATAATAGACCGAGCCTCCGAGACTAAGCCACCCCAATTCAGTGTTTTCCTTGTACAAGTCTCCGTGATTAGAGTCTTCACAGCAACCTGTTATTCACAGCGGTAGAAACCCTAACAAAGAAGTAAAAGCAACACAAAAGAAAATTGTAGCAAATAAAAAACACAAGTATGAGTACATGTTTAGACCTCTGGGATACAGTCAAAAGACCAAACCTGAGAATCAGCGAGAATACAAGAAGGAGCTGAGTTAAACACAAAGGCTTGGAGAATCTGTCAGCGTCTGTAAAAATATAGAAGAAAACATAGAGGGTATAAATAGGAAGGTGTCCTGCTTGAAGCCTTAGCTAGGTCAACAAGATAAGGAAACAGGATACAGACAGGAAATGAAGTCAAACCCCTATTTCCAAACTAAATAATTCCATCCTTAGAAGCCCTGAAGACTCTAGAGAACTTAGTTCTGAGAACACGTTCAGCAAGGCAGCCGGGCACAGAACTAACATAGGAAGCCAGTGGCTTGCGGTGCAGCTTTTATTATTTGATGATGTTCCTATCCCACTTTGAAGAAAGATGGGTGAGTGGGACCCATGAATGCCAACGAGGCCAAGGTATCTGGAGGGATTAGAGGAAGCTGACAGGGCAGCTGTGTAAGCTATATAAACAAACCACAAATATTCAACACCCCAAACCAAAATCAACCACCAATAAATAGGCTAGTGAATTGAATAGGTAGTTTGCAAAAGAGGAAGTATAAGTAGCAATATGATGTGGGATTTCCCTCTGTGTGCTGCTGTGATTGCCACTAATGAATAAAGAAACTGCCTTGGACCTATAGCAGGGTAGAACTTAGGTAGGCGGGGAAGACAGAAATAAATGCTGGGAGAAAGGGTGGAGTCAGAGAGAAGTCATATAGCCTGCCAGAGACAGATGCTGGGAACTTTAGCCAGTAAGCCATAGCTACATGGTGAATACACCGATTAATGGAAATGGGTTAAATTAATATGTAAGAGTTAGCCAATGAGAAGCTAGAGCTAATGGACCAAGCAGTTATTTAATTAATACAGTTTCTGTGTGATTATTTTGGGTCTAAGCTGGGCGGCCGGGAACCAACAAGTGGCCTCCCACTACAGCAATACACACTTGAAAAATGCTCAGCATCCTTGACCATCAAGGAGATAGGAAGTTAACACTGCCTTGAGACTCCAGCTTGCCCCAGTCGGCACAACTGTTAAGAAAACATGACAGTACTGGGGAGAAGGGGAAAAGACAACTCCTTACACACTGCTGGTGGGATGTTAGCTTGTACAGCTACGATGGACATCAGTGTGGAGCTCCTCCAAAACTCAAATGAGAACATCTGGCCCAGCTGTGTTCCTGGACATACACCTGAAGGACTCCTTGTCAGTTTGCCACAGAATGTACATCCACGCTTATGGCTGCACGACTGGCAATAGAGAGGATGTGGAACGAACCTAGCCATCCATCAGGAGATCAGTGAATAATGAAAATGTGGTGCGTATATACAATGGCCATAAACCAAGATGGCATCATAGGTGAAAAGATTGGGTCAATCTTTTTAAAAAGCATATTAAACAGAGTGAGACTCAAAGAATTACATGTTTTCTTTGCATCTACATTTAAAATGACATTTTTACATAAGTGTGTGTGTGTGTGTGTGTGTGTGTGTGTGTCTCACAGGGCTACAGTGGGACTCGGAATTGGGAAAGGAGGAAGGAATAGAATGCATGTGACACAAAAGCAGAAAGAGAAATTATCAGGGTTTTAAGAAAGGAACCAGAAAGAATGAGGGAGAACAAAGCAGGGAAGTGGCGGACAATAAACTATGCCAAAGTATAATAATGCATATATATGGGCATATGCTAGGCCTCCTTCCTAACATGTATGAGGTCCGACAATCAATTCCCAATAACAAATACATAGCTCAAGACCATTTATTAGCCACAAAGGAAACCTAGGAAATGAAAGGGTTAAACCATTTCCTTTCTGGCCACAATAAAAAAAATTAAATAAAATTAAAAGACAGGAATTCTAGCACTTGGGAACTAAAATTTTTCATAAATTTCCCTTGGATGAAAGAAATCATGAGAGACCAAATTTAGTGGAGTGTGCATAATTTCGTCCCAACATACAAGAGACTGAGGCAGGAGAATTGTAGTGGGTTCAAGGCCAGCGTAGTCTACAATCCCAAAAGGCCAAACTAAGAACAGAAATCACGAGAGAAATGAAATTATTTGGGATCTAGAATTAATGATAATGGACTGAAACATCTGGGGTACAAATATGTCATCAGAAGACACACAACTTCAAATCTGTTAGAAGAAAACCACTAACAAACATTTACCTCTATGTTAGAAAAATGCACAGCAACCTCCACTGCCTTCACTGCCTGCTGAAAAACAAAGCAGATAAAAAGGAAATCATAAAATCAACCACAAAAAGTAAGATTAACCAAGTCAAGAATGGATGAAATGGGTAAGTTCCAAGAAAGTTTAAAATGCTGAAATTTAGATTAAGAAATATGAAATTCAGATGGAACAATATACGATAAAGATAAATAATATGTGATAAAGGTCTAGGATTTGAGTTTATAAACAAAGTGATGAATTAGTATCTGGATGTATCATGGATGCAGGCAGGAAACAAGATTCTTGGTCAGGCATAAAATCCCTTATCACTCATGGCACAGTGGGCACCATAAGAGTGTGTCTGCATTGGTTTCTCTGGCTCCCAAGCCCTGAGGCATGTAGAAAGGTCCAGATACATATCAATCATGCAGAGGTTCACAGCACAGCCTAGCAACACTGAGCTCTGCAAACCTGTCTCTTTCGTAGCAGGTGAAAATAAGCCTGCTCTTCGTAGACAGTGCCTCACCCCTCAAGGCTGCTGCTTACCACAAGCACAGGGCTGAGACATGCCTGGGTAGCATCCTGGAGTGCCTTGCTTTACTGTATCATCCAAAGGATATGCAGGGGTGCTCAAAATACACAGAAAACTGTCTGGAGGACACTATTTGGCCCTACATTTGGAAGACAAGCTTGCAGCTAAGTTGTGTGTGTGTGTGTGTGTGTGTGTGTGTGTGTGTGTGTGTGTACCCCCACTTCATTGGCTGCACTGTCTAATGGCCACCAGAGGCTGGAAGCAATCCTGTTTAATAATAAAGGCTGATCGCAATAGGATTCCCAGGATCAGACATAATTGACCTCTGTCATACCTCCCAAGGTCCCGGAAACAACTCTAGCTGTCATGGGGAAAGGTATTGGGTATCATCACTCGTACAGCTAAGATGCAGCCTAAAGTCTCTCCACTTTGGGTTGTGTTGTCAAATAGCTCTAGATCATCATTACATTGTCTGGGTAAGAAACATGGGCAGTGTCTGTCACTGGCCAAATTTAGCCTTGTCAACCATACATGATGCAACTCAAGTGTGACAGTAAATCTTGTCAACTTGATGGGCTTCAGAATCACCATGGAAACCAACCAACCTCCGGGCTTGTCTGTGAGGGAATTTCTACATAGAGTTAAATGTGGTGGGACCACCCACCCTAAATGTCGGTAGCACTGGTACATGGGCTGGGGTCCTGGATAAAATAATAACAGAACCCCAGCATTTATCACCGCTTCCTGACCGTGGATGTCACATGACCGACCAGCTGCCTCGGACTCCTCTTCTGTTCCTTCTCTGTTCAGCTGTGAGCCAAAGTCAGGCATTTTATCGCAGAAACAAGGACAGAAACTAATATACTGGGCAGCTCTGCAGTCAGAAGAAGCTGATGAATTTGTATTCGGTTAGAAAAATGTTGTGCTAGTCTGTATTTGGATGTGTACAAAGTAGAGGCCGTGGATGGTAGCCTTCCATGTATAGCATTTAGGGGGAGCAATGGTTAAAGAACGGTCATGCGCACATAAGTTTGTTTTCAGGCCAGAACAGCAGTAGGTTGGATGTGGAGGCAGGTTGGAGGGTGGCATCAGGTTGAATGGTGGTGGCATGTTGGATGTGGCAGCAGGTTGGACGTGGCAGCAGGTGGACATAGTGGCAGGTTGGATGTGGCGGCAGGTGGATGTGGCGGCAGGTAGACGTGGCGGCAGGTTGGACGTGGCAGCAGGTTGGATGTGGTGGCAGGTGGATGTGGCGGCAGGTAGACGTGGTGGCAGGTTGGATGTGGCAGCAGGTTGGAGGGTGGCGTCAGGTTGAATGGTGGTGGCATGTTGGATGTGGCAGCAGGTTGGAAGTGGCGGCAGGTTGGACGTGGCCGCCGGTTGGATAACACGCCATTGCAGTGTCCTGATTCAGGCCACCATGTGATGAGCTAGGAAACTGCAGTGTTGGATCTGGGAGTGAAAAGAGCATTCACTGTTACTGAGTTGGAGCCATCAAAGGATGCTGATTTGCGATCAAACAATGCCTGGGTCTGATCCATTCTGTCTCGGCACCAAAAAAGTCTGATAGGGAATACAGCCTCCCTTTTGGTGGTCTGTTTCTTTAGGTGCATAATAAAGCTGCACACACTGTTCCTGAGAGACCTGCCCTGGTCAGCAGCCTCTGCACATTCCTGGCTACCAGCCACTTCTGCCGGCAAAGCAGTGAGAACACTCCCGAGCAGGGTGCTGCGGCTAAGACTCTGACTTCCCAGCCCGAGGACCAAGGCCCTCTTACCGGATCTTGGCTCACACACTGGTGACAAATGGCATAGAGTTTGTCCCACTGACCTATCTCTTGCTTTAGGCTACGACTGGCGTAATCCTTAATGAGACTTATGAAATAGAGAAAAGATGTGTAGCTGGAGATCTTCTGCCAACACTTAGAATGTTGTTTTTATTATTATAATATGCATAAAATTTAGGTCTTGAAGGAGACCCTGAAACCTCCAAACCAGCAATTCCTAATTGTACTCTAAGCAAGTGTCCTTATACCCACACAGAAGGGTGGTCCTCACCCCACATCAAGAAAATGCCTCCTTACAACAGTGGGGGACCACTACAGAAAACCACAGCCAATCAAAATGCAGAGTTGTCGAGACCACGCCCAACTGATGCATCTCCAAATCAACTCCTACACCTAAGGCTCAGGAAACATTGTAGAAGAGGGGCCAGAAAAACTACAGAAGTCAGAGGAACAGGGGGTTTGCTGTGAGATTGTAACTCCTAGAAATGTCAGAAGCTACACCCGTGAAGTGTCACCAACATAACGGCCTATACGTGAGTCGTACAGGGATGAAACCAACATCTGTTTTTCAGCGTACGCTGCAATGGCATCAAGCATATTCATAATGTTAAACAGCTACCACCATTTCCCACTTCCTGAACTGTTTCTTTTTTAAATTTCCTTTTTATTTATTCTTTGCATCCTTCGTGTCACGCCTCTCGATCCCGTTCATTTCCTGTTCCCGTGTATCCACCCTCTGCCCTTGCAGCTCCTCCCAGATGAAATTTAAAAGAAAAATAAAAGGAAAAACAACCTCATCATGGAGGCTGCAGTGTGACACAGTGAGTCACGCAGTAAACCCATTTATCCATATGTCTTTACTTGCAAGTGCTCACTGCAAAGAGCCATTGGCCTGGCTCAAGGCCTCTGGATTCTGCTACACCTTTGATGCTGGGCCCTCGCTGGAACTCTTCTTGATTACCCTGCTGTTGCCCTGTGTCGTGGAGATCCTGCAGCTTTGGGTCTGTAGGGCTGGTCCCTTCACATGCTCCAGCAGATCACAGGTGGGGTAGATGTTGGGGTGGGGCAACCCTAACCCTGGTTTTGGCTCTGGGTAGTTGCAAGGTTGGTCAGTCCGCCAGCTCTCCCTTGTCCTTACCACTAGGATGAGCTCTCCTGCATTGCCCTGGTGAGTTCACCCCTGGCAGCCATGAGCAGGGGCGGGGCCAGCTCTCCTGCCCTCAGGGTCAGGTCTGCACCTGCACTGTCAGGGACAGCTCTACTGTGTAGTCCAGGCGTGGGGCAGGGGCCGCTCCCCCCACCCCCAGAGGCCATAGCAGACAAGGAGCAGGAGCAGCTCTTCCGCTCTCCCACCTGGCTCAGGCATTGATGGGGGCGGACATCTCTCTCCTACCCCTGCTGCCACACCACAGGTGAGTAATGGGGACAGCTCCTCCATGCTCACAGTATCAGGCCTGGTTCACCCACACCTCTGCCGATCCGTGTTGCCTGGGCAAGGTACAGAGCCTGCTCTCCCGAGTGTTGCAGCTGGTGGCAGATGGGGCCAGCTTTCCCACCTGCCTCAAGCATTGATGGGCAAGGGGGAGGAATTTCCTCCCTCCCATGCTGTCTCGTGACAGGAGAATAACGAGGACAGCTCACAACTTCGGGGCTGGCTCACCCACGCCTCAACCAACAGGGTTGGCTCTACTGTGCTGCCCAGGTGAGGAGCAGGGCCTGCTCTCCCGAGTGTTACAGCTGACAGGGGGTAGCAGGGTGACTGACAGGGGTAGCTCTTCTGCCCTTCTGACCTCAGGGCCAACTCTCCCACCTGTCTCAGGCACTGATGGATAAGGGGTGGAGTGGAAGGGATTAGGGCATCTCTCCCCTGCCCATGCCACCACATGACACATGAGTAATGGAGACAGCTCTCCCATACTGACATCTTTGGGGCTGATTCACATCTGTTTCATTCTTATCTGTCATCCTTACATGTCCTTTTGTTAGTATGAACTATGAACCAGTATGCTCGAAAAGGTAGAAGAAAGTTATTTTGTCAAACATGCTGCCTTCCAAACAAGAAAACTTAAGAGCCACTTCAAAAACTTCCGCTAGTCTGCAGGCATACCACCGGGAACATGTGGGAGCTGGTCTGAAGGTTTCTGTTATTCTGCATGAGCTCAACAGTTCCTCGTTGACATTTCGCCGAGCTGTTGTTGATGGTATACAGTCAAAAGTCCAGGCAAATAGCTCAAAGGATTATCAAGGTTTCCTATTAGCTTCTGATTTGAGTTCTGATACATAAAGTCCGTCCCTAGAACATTCTAGCATGGGCATCAGCTCTAGACTATTTAATAGCACGTAAGTTGCCGTATTTGTCTTACAAAATGAAGTCAGTAGACCTACTCTTACCTAAATTTGAATTTTTACAGTGGTTTGTGTACAGCTGGCACACGCACCAAGAGTACACTGTATCAAGAAAAAGACCCCGATTATATGTTCTGCGTAGATATCATTTTTACCTTCTAGACTTTTCTAGTGCTACTAAACCAAAGTCAAAGGAACCTGCTCGACTCTTTCATCATTATTTTTTTCCCTTTTAAATCTTTTTAAAAATTATTTATCTATTATTTTTGCTTTATGTGCCTTACTGTTTTGCTCACATGTGTGTCTGTGTGAGGGCGTCAGATCCTCTGAAACTGGAATTACAGACAGTTGTAAGCTGCCATGTGGGTGCTGGGAATTGATTCCAGTTCCTCTGGAAGAGCAGCCAGAGCTCTTAACTGCTGAGCCATCTCTCTAGCCTTCCCCCTCCCCCCCCTTTTATTTTAAAAAAAAATTGGAGTAAAGCAGATATAGTTTAGGTTATGTGTAATCCTCACCAGTGAAACAACACTTATGCTGTCAGCCACAATCAAATTTTATTCTGGCATTTAATTAAAATATTTATCCAGGGTGGAGGCGGGGGTTGCTAACATATGCCTTTATTCCTGGAATTCTGGAGGTAGAGGCAGGCAGATCTCTGAGTTTGAGGTCAGCCTAGTCTATAGAGGGAGTTCCAGGACACCCAGGGCTACACAGAGAAACCCTGTTTCAAAACACCAAAACTAAAGCAACAAAAATTATCCAGAAAAACCCAGTTTAGTAAGACACCACAAACTAGGGCCTCCAATATCAGTTTCTTCTAAGTCATGCGCGCTGCCAGCATGGAAATTATTGGTCCTGTTTTGGGCACTGGGACCTTTGATTCATTATGGAGCATATGTTAGGTTGGCTTTCTGCATCTTTCGTCACAGAAGATTTTTGCTTTGTTTAGTATTTAATAAGAAGACTAACTTAATTTTGGTGTCTTTGTATTCGTAGCAACAAAAGGACGGTGGAACTGATTTCCAAGGCTTCCGTTGAAATAGCCAAACAGTATGAAGTTAAGTCTTACTGTTTCCGATTAACTCACATCAGGGAAAGATGATTCTCCTTAAGGTATCAAAGTCAATATTTAATTTGATTATTAGTAGGGACAATGATGACCAATGTCACTGTGTTCAGATGCACTGAAACTCAACAATGCAATTTAGCTTTTCTATCTCTGGAGGGACATCTTTCCACTTGTACGACTCGGGAGTCCCAGATACATTAGCACCGTGAGGGGCGAAACCCCTCAATGGTCGAGGTCACGATTTAGTGACGAGTTCATGCAAGTATCTGGGACCTGCCTTGGCGTCCCGATGGGGTGGTCACTGATGGTCTTGGCACCTTTTGCAAGGTGCACCTCGACCCTTGCCCTCAGTCCCCGGTCTGACCATTCCCGCAGCGGAGAGGATATTGGTACTTCCCGCTCGGTGCCCTGGGCTAACTCCTGGTTTCGAGTCGGTGCGGAACCTTCAGCAGCGCGCCGTTCGAGCTCGGCGGGCAGCACGGCGGTCCCCGGGAGGGGCGGGCGCGGGTCC